TGGTCGTTCACGTTGCACTTTACCACGTTTTTTTTTAAAGTATTTTTTTTTTGTATGGCGAATATAAATTTATGGGCCATCCATAAATTTAAGTTTACACCTAAGTTCGAATATTGGTTAAACCTAGGAATACCCAGGTAATAGCCCGAAATATGCAAAAGAAGAAGTGAGTTTAGGTTAGATTAGAATTAGGTTTTAGTTGGTTTTACATTAATAAAAAATATAGACCTAATCGAAACTTAAGCTAAACTGACCCCCTTTTTGCATATTTTGGGCTCCTACGTGGGTATAGGAGCCCGTCATAGTGTCGTGACCGTGATCGTGACCAATCACTAATCCGCACACATTCATATCCATCATTAATATTTTCCTCACTAAATTCTTCACTTTTACAAAAAACCATCACGATAAAAATCAAATATCAAAATTATTTAACGTTGCGAACGTTAAACTTGTTCACTATACGTATCTGGAATATATTTGTGAATAGCGATCAATGATACGTTTACGTTAGACTGCCGGAGTGCTGACGTCACGAATGTCAAATTGCTTTGCAACGAACAAGATTTAGTTCTTTTATATTTCTATTGAGCTCTTCCAAATGACGCCACAAATTAATATAAAATGTAAAAAACAGGTGATTGTCGACAACCGCCGACTTGTGTCTGGTATTTTCAATACGCCTATGATGGTTGCGCATGTTGCAAAATCTGTGAATTTTTTATTTAAAAAACGGTCAAGTTTCCGAAAAAACGCTTAAACCCGTATATTTTATTTTGTTTTTTTACATATTTTAAGATTTTTTAAAAATGTATACAGGGTGTTTCGAAAAAACTGGTCATTTAATCACCATCCTGCTTAAAGCGCTTGACGTAAAACGCTGATTTTTGGATTGACTTTAGGGTGTAGAGGTTCGATAAGAAGAGATTTTTCGAAACTCGAATTCTAAGGGGGTGAAACTATCTCTCAAATATTAAAATATTTTTAGTATTGAAAATACTTCTGGCCGCGTTTATATGGGACCCATCTTTGAAAAAACGACATGCTAGAGCCTCATGGGTTCGATAACCTGCCTGTCAACACGTCGATAGTTTAGCCGGCGTTATAGGAATATGGAATAGGGCAAGGTCGTTCGAAGGCCGAAATAAGGTAGAGGTCGTAATTTAAGATATTGGTGAGTACTTTTTGAGTCTTAAGTCAACTATGTAGGTGAGAGAAATATTATGTGATTTATTCGAATGTATAAGCCGTGAAGCTAATAGGGTGTGTGTTATATTTCATGAATATTTCATTTTATTTTGTTCGTAACTGTGAGTCTTGTAAGCTCACACTGTATTCGTAAACAATAAGGTATTATCCTTATTATGGTACTTACGCTTAATTTTATATGTATGTATATAATTTTGTATTCTCTGTTTAATGTATTTGTACACAATTTTTTTATATATTTCTTAATTATCATATTATTTAACAGTATCAAAAGTATTTTTATACAGGGCGGTAAAGTTTTCAGGAAAATCAGTTTTTTTTATAATAACACTGATACTATTTTAAATATCTTTATAAAATTTAGTACACGTCTTCCATGTATCAAGATGTATTTTTTCATATAAAAAAAGTTCTGTAATTTTTATTTCAGTTGCGTCCTTACGGGATTGGGTTAGTTAATTAAATTTAATTTCTTGATTTTCTTAAGAGTTTAATAGCGAAGTACTTTAGACTTTAAATGGATACATATGATAATATTCTTTTTTCTCCGAAATTATGGAATTGTCTAGTTGTAAAATTTATTGATTCTAGTATACTTTAGTTGTTATTAATATAAGTTAAAAAGACGCTAACTTCTTTATTGCATTTTTAATTGATTAGCAATTTTTTGATTTTATCCAGTGTGTAAGCCACCAATGCACATGTCATATTTTGCACCCATACCTCATATTTGTATTTTACCACATTTTAAATTTATATGTATGCATGTATGTTATTTTTGATTGTAATATAATATTTGCTAAACTTTCTATCATGTTTTATGTATTAGTATATCAGTTTTTATATCTCCCTTAATTTTCACATTATTTTACAGTCGACATCAAAAATAATGTTGCCTCTGTACTTTGACGTAATATACGTATAAGTATTTGTTAAAACAATACTCGCCTATTCTATAAACATAATTACTTGAAAAAAAGATACCTATTTGGCGTATTTAGGTATATCCACTAATTTACTTGCACTTCGAAGTAAAATTCATTTTCGAAATACAAGACGTTTTTGAAAATGAAAATGTCTAAGCACCTCTCGTATCCCAACGATCTCATAACTTATCGAAAAGGTAAAGACTAATGGTCGAGTAAATTTTGAACCTATTGAATTATGCTAGAACTGCTTTTTCTTAGTAAATTATGACAGTTAAAACTTAATTTTTTTTTTTAATTTCATTATCTCTTGGATGGTCTATTTAATCATTATCAATTTGTTATTCTCCTTTGTGGCTTTATAAAAATAATATTTTTACATATTTTTACTTTTAAATTATAATTGACAACGACAAATCATAGGCTATGCTAGTCTTTGCAGTATAACTTAATTCAAAATTGGTCGCAAATTTCCTTAATTAACCTAGCATAAGTCGTAATACAGATTATATCAGTGTAGGAGTAATCAGATCGGAAGTCATAAGTTGAATCGGATATAAAATGCAAATATAATGTATAAATATAAAATCCAATAGTTCACGTGATGACTCGAATCGAGTGGTCTGTGGTACCTTTTAAAAAATGGCGGATAAGCAAAACGGTTCATCGTTCATTAACTGAATCTTCGTTAAAAAAAATCTTAAATACTACCAGAAGATGAAAAAAAAAAAGCTAGAAAACTTAAATTAAACGTCGAACGTCGTCGAGCCTATAGAAATCGCAAGAAAATTGCTAAAGTTTTTAAATCGATACTTCTTCTTCGACCTTGGAAGATTTTGAAGGACCATCAGAGACAAAAGGAAATATAAATCAGGAAGGTAAGTAATAATACCTAATATGAATATGGTTAATAAATATTACCGTGACTTACCACTGGTGTATATACGGATATGGAAAACGTCTCGGAGAGCCAAGATAATAAAAAATGATTTTCATAAGAAATAAGAAGTTTCTTATTCGCTGCATTTCAAAAATATTTTATGACAGGCCTCTGGACAAGCACACATGTCAAAGATATTAAAATTGAGTGGCTTAGAATCCTAATCCGGCATCCGTTTGTCGTTCATCGTTCCGTCAAACCAGTAAAATTGAAATATTATCTGTCATTTTTGAAATAAACCAATAAAACTGGTTAAAAACAACAAGAGACGACGCATGACGGATTTATATTTAAACCCATCCATAGCTAACTTAAAAAATATTGGAAACTTTTTTTAGTAAAATAAATAGATTGGTATGAGATGTCATCTGCTATTCTTGTCATCGTCTGTCTTACCTGAGAAAAAAAAACAGAGTATACATCGATAATCTAATCAAACTGGTAGTTTCGACCTTTAAACCGATATTAATGATTATTACGTTTACTTTCTTATTTTTCAGAATTAATATTAAAACATTATAGGTACCTACCGTTAAAATCTGAAATTTTGTTTCAGATTTCAGATTTATATTTAATTAATAAAGTCCAATGCAAGAAACAACATAATGAAACCACCATCACTAAGTGTCAAGATTTTATATTTATGGTTCTTACTTTAGAAAAATAATAAAAACTTTTTGTGACCAAATTTTATTTTTTACATTAATTTTTATTAATGTAATTTATTTTTGCTGCTTACCACCACGACCTTACATGGCATGGTTTCTGTAACCAAGAAATAAATATCACAGTTCAGTAGTAAACATTATAATGGTGACCGTAAAGTATCGAATAAGTTCATTTAAAATTAAGGGGTGTGTAAAAAAAAGTTTTTTTCTTCGACAACCGCCAACTTGTGTCTGGTATTTTCAATACGCCTATGATGTTTGCGCATGTTGCAAAATCTGTGAATTTTTTTTTGATTTAAAAACCGGTGAGTTTTTCGGAAAAAACTCTTTTTTATAAATTTTAAAAAAGGTTTTTTATAAATTTATATAGGGTGTTTCATAAAATATGACCATTGAGTTATCACGATTCTGCTTAAACTGCTTGACGTTTAAAGCTGATTTTTGGTAAACGGATTGACTCTGGGGTGTAAAGGTTCGATAAGGGGGGGTTTCTCGAATCTCAAATTCCAAGGGGGTGAAAACGCCCCTCAAATATTACAATATTTGTTATTTAAAAAACGGTTAGTCTTTCGGGAAAACGTTTGGACAAGCATAATTTATTTGCTTTTTTTTTATATTTTGAAATTTTTTAAAAAATCATACAGGGTGTTCCAAAAAGTTGGGCAATTTCTTAACCACGATTCTGCTTAAACTGCTTGACGTAAAAAGCTTATTTTTGGCAAACGGATTTTTCGAAAGTCAAATTCCAACGAGATGAAACTACCCCTCAAATATTACCAAGTTATATAATAATGATGGTGCCCGGTGGCGTAGAGGTACAGGCTCTCGTCTACCAATCTCAAGGTGTGGGTTCGATTCCCACACCCGGCATTTCATCAGCCGACTATTTTTATTAAAATAAAAATAGATTGGGTACCTAGGTCGACTCAGCCTTAAATGAGTACTTGGAATTCACAATCCTGAGGTAATAATAGGCGGTTGAAGCGTAGTGCTAGCCACATTACCTTCCTTGTATACCGAACGGCTGTACCTTGCTACTCCCAAGGCGTTAAACGCTATATACGGGAGCTATTATTATATATAATAATATCGCCACAGTATTTTTTCTCATGCTGACATAAATGTGAGAAAATTTTATCCAGTTTGTATGTTAACAGAAATCCTTGCTTTGCTTTATCATCACCATTACAAATGATTAATTCGACGCGAACGAAGTCGCTGGTACACGCTAGTAGGGTATAAAATAAAACATAAAAAACATATATATAAAACTTTATTATTAAACTTTAATAAATTACTTTAAAAAAAGTTCGTTTTCTTTATTTATAATATTTAAATTCTTTTTAATATTTTTAAATCCAGTTTCGTTTGCTCGCCTCCTTTATAAGGAGAACCATTTTGTCTTTTTGACGCTGGTTGAGATTTTCTACCATTCTTGTTAATTCACTGAACATGTCGACATCTTCCACTGCTATATCTACGGCAGGATTCTTGTCTGCTAGAATTGGGATGGCAAAGAAGATCGAATGTGGTATTTCGCTATCCCTTGCAGCTTCCTCTACTTCTTTCAAGTATTCGTCGTAGCTCAGTTCTAAGTCCAGTTCAAATCGTTTCAGATTTTTGGTAAACTCGCCGTAATAAAATCTAAAATATCATATTATGTCAAAATGATAAAATATTAATTGTTATACAGCATGTCTCCGGATTGACTTTACAAGAAGAAAAACTTTTTTGTTAGAAGAAAGAAAAATTAGTTCTTCGAAAAATTATTTGCATGTTCTAAAACGGAAAGGAGAATGAAATGTATAGTGAAAATCTTAAAATTTTCATATCGTTTTAGAAAAAAAAATAAAAAAACCTTGAAAATATGGTTGAATTTTCCTGAATATTTCACTCATGTACCGGGTGTCCCACTAAGAATAGCTCTCGGCTGTATCTCGGAAAGTATTAGCCGTAGGGGCTGCGGAAAAAAATATTTATAACTAAAGAGGCTAAGAGAAATTGCTGGAAATTATTTTCAAATTTGTAAAACGGCCGCTAGGTGGCGCAACTGCTATGGAAAATAAGAAAATAGATTTATTACAGAATTTTGCTTAGATAATGGGTACTATAAATAATAGCTTCATAATCTTCAGTATATTTAGGATTTTTTTTGTTAGAACCATTTTCCCCTATCTGCTAAAATAAAGTGGTGGGGGAAGATTAGATCTATCTTTATTTAAATATTAATAACTCCGGACTGGATGATTAGAATCCAACAAACAGGGCTCGTTTAAAAGAGCGGTTCTTACTCTATATTATACCATAAAAATAATAATAATAAGGTTTTGAACGTAGACGCTAGGGGGCGCTTTCTTACAATTTAACAAACAGCGCGTTTTTTTCAAAAAAAAAATACAATAGTATGTGTTATTTTAGCTGACAGTAAAGAGTAGTAAAATCTTAAAAAGTCAGCGAAAACCGCATCTTGATATCTTCTTTCAAACCGAAGATATTAGCAAAATTATAATAAATACTAAAAAATAAGTCCTTAATTACCTTACTTTTACAATACAGTATCAGTAGCCTTCTTGATTGCGCCGATTCTAACCTAAAAATAAGATAGAAACAGTTAGTTTGTTTTAAAATCGACGAAATACCAGAATACCATAATATACCAGATGTATTAATATTTAATAATTAAGATATTAATAATAAAAAAATGAACTGAGACGAAGATTCAGTGAAGTCATGGTAGGCTTTGGAAAAAAGTTGCTTTTCGCGTAATAGTATAAACGTCAAATTGTTATTAGATCAACATTTTGATAGTCTTAGCAGCGTTTTTTTTATCTTTTAAATGCTTTTTCAAAATGCCTTTATTATTTGAAGTAGTTGAAGTTGTTGGCATTTTGAAAAAGCCACCAAAAGATAAAAAACGCTGCTAAGACTATCAAAATGTTGATCTAATAACAATTTAACGTTTATACTATTATGTCAAAAGCAACTTTTTTCCAAAGCCTACCATGACTTCACTGAATCATCGTTTCTTGTTCACTATTATTAATATCTTAATTATTAGATATTAATACATCTGATATTATGATATTCTGTTATATCGTCGATTTTAAAATAAACTAACTGTTTCTATCTTATTTTTAGGTTAGAATGGGCATAATCAAGAGGGCTACTGATACCTTATTGTAAAAATAAGGTAACTAAGGTCTTATTTTTTAGTATTTATTATAATTTTGCTAATACCTTCGGTTTGAAAGAAAATATCAAGATGCGGTTTTCGCTGACATTTTAAGCTTTTACTAGTCTTTACTATCAGCTAAAATTACATATACTATTGCGTTTAATTTTTTTTGAAAAAACGCGTAATGTTTGTTAAGTTGTAAGTAAGCGCCCCTTAGCGTCTACGTTCAAAATCTTATTATTATTATTTTTATGGTACAATATAGAGTAAGAAACGCTCTTTTAAACGAGCCCTCGCTTGTTGGATTTCGATCATCCAGTCCAGAGTTATTAATAATCAAATAAAAACAGATCTAACCTTCCCCCACCACTTTATTTTGGTAGATAGGGGAAAATGGCTCTAACAAAAAATATTCAAAATTTACTGAAGATTATGAAGCTGTTACTTATAGTACACCTTATCTAGGCAAAATTGTGTAAAAACTCCATTTCCTTATTTTTTGTTGCAGTTGCGCCCCCTAGCGGTTGTTCTACAAACTTGAAAATAATTTCCAGCAATTTCCCATATCCTCTTTAGTTATAAATATTTTTTTCCGCAGCCGCTACGGCTAATACTTTCCAAGATACAGCCGAGAGCTATTCTTAGTGGGACACCCTGTACAAAAAATCACAGATGAAGCGGGAAAAAAACGGAAATTACCCGGCTAAAATTTCCCGCAGAATGTCTAAGTGACAATGACATATTTGTCACTTAGACATAAATTATTTTTAATAGGTATTCTAAACATGTCTTGATTTGGAAACGAGTGTTAATAAAGTAATTAAGTGTAATTGAAGAAAAAGTTGCCGAAAGTAAGCCGAAAAACACTATAATTAATCACCAGTATGTATGGAAACAGTTTATGGACTTTATAAAAGATAGAAACTACATTTTGGATGCGAACATCCCAATCTCGGCACTGGCCAATATTTTGACCGATTGGACATTTAATATGAAAAGGAAAAACGGCCAAGACTATAAGGATTTTACGTTAAAAACTATTTGGAATGTAACAGCCAAGCTATTAATGGAAAAATACCAAAAAGAATGTAATATTAAATTTAATCCTTTTACTGACACCGAATTTAAAATATCCCGGGAGGCAAAAAGTGCCAAAAGGATGGAATTTCAGATGGACCCTCTAAAAAGAAAAGAAAGCTCTAAGGCACTCAAATACGAAGAATTCAAATTGATGGTACGAAATTGTAATGAAGAATGTCTCGATGGTTTGCAAAAAAAATATATTTTTTGTATTATCCTACGAATTGGCATGGCGTGGAGGGGGGGGGGAGGAAAATGTTTTGTTTCCTATTTTAAAGATGATATTCATAATATAGGACAACCCACGATATTCAATAAAACCGCTCAAGGAGAGGAGATAAACCTTGTGCTCCGTCAAAATGGCTGGTCATAAATAGAGGCCAACCGGATATATGTTCAGTAAGGCTATTCAAAAAATTTATGGAAAAAAGAAAATTAATTAATGTTCCAAGATTGTTTTTAACTGTAAATCCTTCCTGGAAAATGGCTAAATGGTTCAAGAACCTTCCTGTTGGGAAAAATACGATTGCTCAATAGGTGTCTATCGAAGCGAAAAATCAGGTTTGGCTACGGAGAAAATAAAAATTACAAATCATTCGCTACGTGCAACAGCTGTGCAAAGAAAGTGGTTGAGGAGAACACAATGGTCAAAATAACTGGGCACGCAAACCCGAAGTCAATTAAACCTTACCTTCAACTCGATGATGAACTTCATGCAAATTTGGTAAAAAATGAGAGACAATGAAACTGCTACAAGTTCTAATAATAATATTAATGTTTTTGTACCTACTATAGGTTCTTTTAATTTCAATTCAAATTCAGCATCTTCAAGTACCGCAACGGAATCTAAACATCATAATTTTTATAACTGTGTTTTTCACTGCAATTCTTCATGTAATTTTTAATTTCTAATATTATAAGTTCTGTTTCATTTTATTGCTTCATTTTTAAATAGATTTTTTTAATATGTTCAAATAAATGTTTTTAAAAAAGCTATGTATTTTTACTTGTATTTTCATGGTTTTTATTGGGGAAATATTCTACCGAATTACACTAGTGCATCAAAATTAACCTGATATTATTTTTTAGTAACAGAAATACAAGCATCAGATATCCGATTACTGGGTTGCCTTAAGAATTCTTAATTACTTACCTCAAAAGTTCATCAAAGTTGTTTAAAAAGACGTCATTCTTCAAACTCGTCAACAAAAAGAATACTAAGTCGGTGGCAAAAGATCTATATCCGCAGATTTGGAAATCGACTAGCTTCACTGAAATTTCCTTTCCCGGTTCAGATTTAATCATCATATTGTTTACCCAAAAATCGTTATGTGCAAACGTTCCCCATGGCTCAGTACCCGGTTTACCAGCTCCTGGAGGTCCCATTTTCCCCATTAATGGACTTAGTCTATCTATATAAGGTGACAATTCGGGAATATCTTTTAATGTTTTCAGTAGAACTTGATGAGGGTGTTTTCCATCGGGAAAATTAAAGCCGCCAGGTGGTCCACCACGGGGTGGTCCATTTGGTGGTCCACCAGATGGAAATTCAGGACCATTTTCTGATGGTCCTTTATGAGGACCTCCTGGGGGACCGTCTCCAGGGGGACCACCACCAGGTGGCCCAAATGGGCGGCAACTAACCAAGAAATCTTTAAGAATTTTAAAATTTTCAGCGTCTTTACTTCTTAATGCTATAGGAATGGAATGGAATAAAGCAAGCCTTTTTAGAATGGCTTTGCTGGTATCTAAATCAAATCCAATATGTCTGTCCTCATTCTTGTAACCTGAAAATAATGTTTTGTTCAAAAAAAAACATATTTACCAAGAGTACCGGGTGTTTCTCAAAAGTGGCTCACCCTTATAACTTTTTTTATTTTTTCAGATAAAAAACGAGATTTGGTACGTTAGTATATTACTTAAATCAGGATTGATTGACGTACTAAATTGTTTTTGGTCACCTCCTGTTTGACCGGAAATTAGTGATGGGAATACCGGTTCCGCGTGAGTCGCGTTACAATAGCGACCGTTCCAGAAAAATACCGCGACAAAATACCGCGATTTTGTAACCGAGGTTCCGACTTCCAAAATGTTGCGGTTCTCGCTAAAAATATCTTTAACTTATCTATATTTGTAGATTAATGTAACTTTTATCCGCCATTCATTTTCCAAATATCGAGTTTATAATTGTGTATAGCCAATCTATCTCATATTTAGAAAAACGATGACATTCTATATTATTTTTTTTTCTTTATCAATTTTTAAGTTTAAATAAAATGAACGGCTCATATTTATGTGTATTGCAATATAATATATTTAATGTTAAAATCAAGAACAAAGTCGAAACCACTGTAAAAAAAATGTTTATTGGTCTCACCTAACCTTAAAAATAGATATAAACAATAAAACTTATATAAATGTATAAAAGTAAATAAAATATTTTTATTTTATTTTATTTGCTTTTGCGTTTCATCTTTCAAACAACACTATTTTATACCATGCCTGGTACATACCAAAAATCGCTATTTCGAAAGTAACGTAGCGACGGGAGCACCAACGCCTATAGTAACCGACCAAATCGCGACAGGCAAAACCGAAATCCTAGAGGCGCTCCAGCGACTGCTGGAACGAAGTACGTGGCCGCCGAGGTCGAGCGTCGATAATCAGTTACAGCAGTTACTCCTGTTCGCTACAGGGAACTAAAACTCTAGGAGCGCGACGGCTGGAACGAAGTAGGTCGCCGCCGAGGTCGAGCGTCGATGCCCAGTTACAGCAGTTACTTCTGTTCGCGACAGGGAACTACAACTCTAGGAGCGCGACGGCTGGCTGGAGCTAACAGGTCCCGATCGAGATCGCGCGGCGCTACGGACATACCAGTTCCAGATACTACCGTTGGCGACCGACGAAATCGCGCCGGCTGGAGCTAAACACGTCGCTATGCGGTTATTACGGTTCGAGCTAACTTGTCGTCATTATGATCGTCGTTCTTCAGTAACAGGTTCCTGATTCGTTGTGGAGTGCGACACGACGTTACAAAAAAATACCGCTCCAAAATCGCGTTACTCAAATACCGATACATCACTACTATGATTGATAATAAAAGAAACTAAAGAATTGTTAAAGTATACTGCTATCTGTGTCTTGTTTTGTTTTGGGAGCCACTAGTAAATTCTTCATAAATCAGTGAAACTCTCTACCGCTATTCTCGGATGCTATTGTACCGGGACTTTTAGATATTCCTTTAGTTAGTAACTTTACGAGAAATATAATTTAAGCAAGATGGGGCTCCCTCTCACAACTTTGAAAATATTAGAATTTTGTTAAATAACTATTTCCCAAACCAAACCAAACCAATGGACCATACCTCTACCTCGTCATCCTGATCCCAGGATTTGTCCGTTCTTGATTTCTCTGTATTTAGTGATTTTTGAAATACGAAATATATCGTGGCAACTACAACACTGTCGAAGACCTGCAAAATGCTTCAGGCAAGCTGTAGATATTTAAAAACTCATTCCGTTTTAATAAATCCCGTTAAAACAAAGAAGAAAATTATATTCAGAGATGCCGTGGTAACAGTTTAAAAGTAAAATATTTCAGTCCCAAATAAAATTTTAAAATGTGTATGACTATTTTAGTAAATACCTTTTTGATTTTTTTGTTACTAATTTTCCTACCAATAAGAGAAAATTATATCTTTTAAATATCGCAGTAAATAGTAAAAATAAATACAGAGTGGCATATATTTTTGAGAAGCTCATAGCAAGACGGATCATTATTTGTAAATATACAGGGTATTCCATTTGAAAATACATAACTTTAATTCATATTTTCAAAAAAATATTTTTCTTGTTAAACAACAGACTACGCCACTGTATTCCACGTAAAAAGTTCTACAGGAATCAGTTTTCACCTTCTCGATACCTTCTATAATAACGGAGATACGGGGGCTGTCCCAAATTGCAACATTTTGAAAATACACTGTAGATCAGAAAAGAAGAGGGCTATAAAAATTTTGTTTACAGCATCTTCCGGTTGACAAAAAAGTGGAACAGGTTTGTGCAAACCGTATCCATCTTTACTTATAACGGAGATACCGTATGATTTCAACCAAAATGGGACACCCTGTACAGTGCCAGAGATAAAGCCCGCATTATGTGGAGAACTTTTTTTACCATTTACATTCGGACAGTGGCATCGGTTCGAAACGTCTAGGGCGTCATCCTGTAGCCAGTGGTGAAGCTATGGGGGGTATTGGGGGGGGGATTATGGGGGGTATTGGGGGGGGGGATAAATAAACTTATTAACGTGTTCCCTAACTGCTATACCATTTTAAAGATTTTTTTAACATTGCCAATCACTAGCTGTGAAGCAGAACGCTCCTTCTCCAAGATGTCCTATGTAGAAAATAAATATAGGACAACAATGTCGAACTATCGACTAAATAATTTATCACTTCTTTCCATAAATTGTGATCTAACAAAAGACTTGGAATGTGATGACCAAATAACTGTCAATTTCTGTGACTACAGCCTATCAATTTCTTTTACTAATTCATAATAAGTAAATAAATAAAATTGTTTTATTGTTTTTTTTATATTCTTATCAAAATATCACTATTTCGATTTCTCTCTCACCCAAAGTTTGCCTGGAAGAGATTACTACCACAGCAATAAGGTCGCCTTTTGTACAACTAATACTTGCGTATATTTAAGTAACATTAATGTTACTTAAATCCACATATCACAAATACCGAAGTCTACAGCAGAATAGGCAGAGAAAGAGAATTGCTCAATATAATAAAATTAAGAAAAACATCATACTTAGGGCATATATTGAGAAATGAAAAATACCACGTCTTACAATTGATAGTTAAGGGTAAGATTGAAGGAAAGAGATGTCTCGGCAGGAAGAAACTATCTTGGTTGAGAAACATCAGAAACTGGACTCACCTAACTTTTGAAGAACTTATAAGGAAAGCCGAGAATCGTGAAGATTTTGCCAATGTGATCGCCAACCTCCACGAAAGAGACGGCACGTAAAGAAGGAGAATAATAATATATCATTATAGAAACAGTTTTTTGATATGGCTATTAGTTGAGTACTTATGTAGGCCCCTAAGTAGTTTCAGCCCAGGGCCCCACAAATTCACGATCCGCCCCTGCTTCTCTGACTGTTAAGGGTAATAAAGGACCTTTATTGTCACGTTCTCGTTCAAGCTCTTTGCTTCCACTGCTTAAATGCTTCGGCATATTTTCATTTCACACAATTTCAAGAAATGCAATACAAAAGCTCGAAAATTTAGTTCTTAAAAGAACTGTATGTGCTTAAAGGTACAATTTTTAAAAAATACTATGAAACTAGGCAAAAAAAACGAGAATTACTCACAAAGATTCAACAACAACACGGTATTATACAAATAATGACTGACATTAGGATAATTGTCAAATAATAAACGACAACCTTGCTGATGTCGTCGGCGCAATGTGGCCAACATAGCGATAATAAAATTATGTTTAAACTAATTTTTGCAGCTTTAATCTAAAAAAATATCTGTTACAACCATTTGCTCTATAAAGTAAAATGAAGAGCTGCTCGGTATCTAAAATTATACAACAAATTTAAACATTTTTGCCAAAATTTCATTTAGTCAGGTTTATAGACTCATGTCAGTGTCAATGTCGATATGATTGATGACGTGCATCGGAAAATGTTTTACGATTACATTACAATTTTTACTCCATGTGATGAGGACTTTATCTAGGACACTGTTGTATGTTACGTTGAGTTTTACTTACCTAGCGGAATTATATTTTCCAATAATAAAATAGAGTCTCTATCGGCATCCTCGCTGGAATCATCTAAACTAAACCTAGAACCGTAGTATTTTGCAAAAAACTCCGAAGCATCGACTTCGTATGTTGAGGCGAATTCTGTTAGCAACGGTACAATTTCCCTGTAAAATTTAATTTCATTTTTCATGGCGTGTGCTGCCATTTTGCTTCTCATTTCATTATTTCCCAGCGGCAGGCGCTTTCCTATAGTTTTCACAGTTTTCTTCTTGCCATCTTTTTCCACGTCGATATCCACGCGCAACACTAAGCTTACATAGTTTTCCCCAGGTGCTGTGAGTCGAGTGACTTCGATATTTTTTACCGTACCGTCTACTGTTACAATTGTTTCCAGATCCTTTATGGAGTAGTCTGGTGGATTTGGCGACATCTTTTAGGATCTAAAATGAACATAGACACTTATTAAACAAGGTAGAAATGAAAAGTCGCAAGTGTGAAAAGGCGGAGTTTTTTTTTAAATAGGTGGGGTTTTGGTATAACATATTTTATTTAATATGTTGCTCAAAAGATATTAAAATTATATAGTGTGTATCAAAAGCTCTGAAGTCGTGCTATAACGTGTAGCGAAAATCACATTTTAAATATTTGTGAATGTAAGTATCTGCCGCTAACGAAATGATTAGATTTTTAGGAATTGTGAGTGATTCGATCATTGGAGGACTACTAAGCTACAGTTTAAAATTATTATCAAAAGGTAACAGTTGAGGGTTCCAACCCTCAACTGTTTTGGTGTATTGTGGTGATTTAGTGTTTCTATTTTGATCAAAAGGTACAATAATAATAAAAAAATAAACAAATAAAAAATATCAAAGTTGTATTTTTTTAAATGATACCTGTATATTATTACATTTTTAGTTTCTACGATTATAATAAAGGTAGCAATGCACAGTTTAATTGTCTTTAAAATTGTATTACACCATTCTCTACCTATCTCGTCAAGTTTTTTGTATAAAATGCATTTTCTTATAACTTAGACCTCATTTAGCAATATACCCATGGAATATTGACATTTTATATTTTTTTACAGCAACAAATGTATGTATAGGTGCTAAAAACTATAATATTGTTAAACTGCCGCTACATTATCTCCGAAATGTTTTACGAAATATTTCTGGAAATATTTCGTAAAACATTGCTGAAAATAGTACGATCTATAAAAAGACGGACCGAAAACAAAACTAAAATAAATTTGAAACGCTGTGTACACGTCGAGCAACGGATGTAGACTGATCCAAGTCTACAAGACAGGCGGGGAGCGGCGGGAGGAATTTTGATGCGGACGAAGAGTGGGTCAACTGATATATTTATATTCTTTAAACTGTGATACTATACTCAGTAAGGCTTGACAGTTTTAGCCAAGTCAATTCAATATAATTATGAGAATATCATCAAAACGCTTCAAATATAAATCTAACACAATTATTTTGCATTACTTGCAATCGATTTTTTGTTTGAAGATCCAAAAATGGAAAGTATATACCGTTGCAATAAGTAAAGAGTGACATAATAAGAGATTCGCACAGCTTTTTTCGCAGTTTGTAATTTAGAATAAATTTATTTGAATACAATAATCTGAGTTTTATGTACATTTTTCTAAGGTTTTTAACATGGCCAGTAAAACTTAATTTTGATTCCATGGTCAAGCCCAGTATCTTAACCGAATCAGAAAATTTTAAATTAACTTGTCCGATTTTTAAATTGAGCAACTCTTCAACCGTATATCTCTCACTTTCTGAACAAAATAGAATTATGCTTGACTTATTCATATTTAGTAAAAGATTATGCTTTTCAGAAAATGCACGCACCCTTTCAATGTCACTGTTAAGCGCCTCTGTGGCGTAATTTGTATCATCCGGAAAGAAATAATGAACCAATTGTGTATCATCCGGAAAAGAATGAATCGTTCAAATCCGCAAATCGTTGAATCCGCAAAAGAAATGACATCGTTTGTACTTATAAATAATTTTGTTATCTATGATCTTTTATGATTTTAAATTCCAACAATTTTTCTCTCATAAACGGATATTTTTAATTTTTATACATACAGTATTGGCCGTAATGGTTGGAACTTTTTATATTTTGCAATATATTTATTACATACTATACATTTTAAGAATTTTATTAAATAATGTATAGCTTAATGCAAACCTAATAAAATAAAGTAAAATTTATATCAAATGTCGGCGTGTTTGGGTTTTGGGTTTAAAATAAAAAAATAGGCCGGACAAAATAGTTGGAACAAAAGCATATCATTTATTAAAAACGAAAAACAAAATAAATTTTCTTAACATAATTTAATAAATTAATATTTAGTGTGATAACCTTTGGCGTTAAGGACGGCTTGCATTCTTCTTGGCATTGATTCTATTAGATTTTCAATTGTTGGTCTGTCAATGGTATTCCAGGCTTGAGTAAGTTTTTCAAACATTTCATTGGCATTTTTGATGGGTCCCAATTCACGAACTTTGCGGTCTAAATGTTCCCATAAATTTTCAATCGGATTTAAATCGGAACTTTGTGCTGGCCACTTTAATACTGCGATCTTTTCCGTGTCAAACCATTCCTTTACAAGCTTTGAAGCGTGCTTCGGATCGTTATCATGTTGAAAAATGTAATTAACGGGCATACTTTCAAACGAGTATGGCTCCATTACGTCACGAAGGATGTCTTTGTACATGAACCTGTCCATTTTTCCTACCACTCGATGAAGAGGCCCCACGCCATACCAAGAAAAGCAGCCCCACACCATTACGTTACCACCTCCATGCTTCACTGTCGGTCTAACGTATTTTCTTTCTAGTCTTTTGCCCTTTGATCGCCTAACATGTACAATACCATCACTAGAAAACAGATTATATTTGGACTCGTCACTGAATAACACCTTTTTCCAATCTTGCACAGTCCAATGGATGTGGTCTACGGCAAATTGTAACCGTAACTTGATGTTTTTTTTTCTTAGTGATGGTTTTTTGGCGGGTCTGCAGCTTTTGAGTCCACTACTCAGTAATCGTCTCCTTATCGTTCTTGCCGAAATATTGCAAGGTTGAGTTTCTCTTATTTTTTGTAAAATTTTCCAAGAAGATAAAAAAGGATCATTATGCGACACAGTTGAAATTCTTTTATCCATGCGGGCATTTGTAGCTCTAGGTCTTCCAATGCTTTTTCCCGGAATTACGTGACCATACACTTTATATTTTTTTTTTTGGAACTTTAAGTCTTTTAGAAATTAAACTCTGTTTGATACCTTGGTTGTAAAAATCTAGAATTCGCTGAAGAATATCACTAGAATACGCTTTTCCTTTTGCCATACTGATAATAATAGTTCAATTATTGTAAAACTGTGTAACACAAACGCTGGCTAGTTAGAAACTATAATTATCTAGAATACCTTTTGACAATTTGAATATAGTTCCAAGTTTTTTGTCCATCCCCAAAAAAAAATTACTGATAATATTGTATGCAAAGATAAGACTTGAATACTAACATCTTATTTTGTTTATGTTTCCTTAGATGTATGATTTGATTTGTATATGAGAATAAGGAATATTGAATTTGTAGAAAAAATTTAACAAATATAAAAGTTCCAACCATTATGGCCAATACTGTATACACTCAGATGCAAAAAAACGCAACGGAGAAATTTTTGTTATTTTTAGCCCTATTTTCATGAAATTTTTAGCAAGCTGTATATAATTACATCAACTTTAATTCGTAAATTCTGTGTTTTATAAACTTTAACCCTAACTTTATAACACCCTGTGCAATAATTTCGTTTGTAAATTTTCCTAAAATATAATTTTACAGTCAGAACCATGTCTCCTGAGCATTTTGTTTTTTGGATCATATTAATACATGCTTTCTTTAATTTTTAAGTGCGAAATGAACTTGCCACCAATAATTTAAAAAAATGTTCAATTACCATTTCTATTTGAAGGCATTTTTCAATATGAAAAGGCCTGTTTTGGTGGTTATTGTGAACGCGAACTATATACTACTATGAACTGCCCATTATGTTCGATGTTTGGGAAATGCTTAGCAGGAGGGTTAGAGGTTGAGTTGGTTCTTAAACAAGAAAGAGAAAGCATAACACAATATGATATATGCAGCCTCAAAGACAGTATGAACGAATGTATACAAACAGGTATAATAACCAAGGGAGGCAACACAAAGTATTAGGGTATTTTTTACATTTTTTTTCTGTTTGTATACACGAGTATTACAGATGTTTTCTTTAATGTCGTTAGTTAAAACCAGGACTGTATCGTTTTTTTTTTTAATTTAGTATAGAGTATCCAATGCAGCGTAATATTATGATGTTACGACAATAGTCACGAAAACCATCTCGTCATATTAAAAAATTGGCACCGGAAGGCACGTAGGTATAGCCGCCCAAACTGGAATATGTTAATAAAAAGTTGGTAGACAGTTCTTTTAGTTTCAAAGTAAAGGAATTTTTCCAATTTTTTTTATCTCAAAAACTGCGACTTTGACTGATTTTGATGTTATTACAAATTTTGTTGCAAATATTATTCCTAATCTTAAATTGAAAACCGCGTTTCGCTAGCTACTGTAATTTTGGAGTTACGATTTTTTTAAATTTCCCCCCCCCCCATGCCCCCTTACCAACATGCCACAGTATTTTTGTGCCAAATTTGATTAAAATCGGTTTAGCGGTTTTTGAGTTATCGTGTTACAGACAGACGGACAGACAGACAGACAGACAGACACCATGAAAATATTTTGTATTTAGGTCATTTATGACCCAAATAACTCTTTTTGAGTGAAATTAAAAAACTTTTTTTTTGCTGATCTTAATAGCCTACCATACCTGTTGGTATGGTCGGCTAAAAATGACGTCAAAAAGTAATGATAATTGAAAAAATTGCAAATTGATCGCGATAAGTACATTTTGCTCTTAAAAATTAACCAAAGCATGTATTGACACAAATCAAAAAATAAAATTCTTAGGAGTCATGATTCTGACGGCAAAATTATATTTTAGGAAAATTTACACACGAAATTATTGCACAGGGTGTTTTAAAGTTAGGTTAAGAAAACAACCCCTCGAATTAACCCTGTATAATATGCCAAATACTAAAGTTGGCCAAAAATTTCGAGTGTAGATGGTTTAATGATCAAAAGTCTTCAAATTGTACAGGGTGAGTCTTAATAAGTACATATATATTCAGGGCTGATAGATCTCGATAAAACACATGTTTTTTCTTTGCCATTTTCCAAATAATTGAACTTATTTGGAAAGCTGAGGTAGCTGAGGTAGTTTGTTTTGAAAATATAGGAAAAAAATTGCGCTTAAATTTTGAACTGGATTTTTTTTCTGGGTTTTCCTTCCTCTATATTTAATCTACTAACTATTTTGCTATACAGTGTGTCCCAGAAATAAGTGCAATTATTTTAACTTGTAGTATAGTTCAACCTCTGAAACATGCCTATGAGGGTTTTTTTCGGGAAAAAAAAATTGAAAATTCGAAATTTTTTGAAAAATTTTTTGGAATTTCTTTTAGTTTTTAGTTAAAAAACATAATTTCTTGATAATATGGTAACATAGGTAGGTATTAAATTAAATTTACAAGAAACAAAATCCAGAAAAGATCCAGTGGTTATCAAAATTTTAGCAAAAAATCATTTTTTTGGAAATTTTCAAACTAAAATAACTCCGTTATTTTGGACTTATTTGAAAAACGATAAAGAGAAAATATGTTTCTTTTATCGAGATCTACGACCCCTTAAAATACTTGCACTTATTTCTGGGACACCCTGTATTATCAAGAGATTATAAAAAAAATCCTCATAGACGAAAATATACCACCGTTAAAATTATTTGCACTTATTTAGGACTCACCTGTATAGCAATTAAAAGAAATAACAGATATTTATTTAATATACCGGGTGCGTCTCAAAAGTGGCTCACCCCTATAACTTTTTAATTTTTTCAGATAAAAATACGATATTTAGTATGTTAGTATATGACATAAATTAGGATTGATAGATGTATTCAATTGTTTTTGGTCACTTTCTGTTTCACCGGAAATGACTACAACTTTTGCTTTTTAAATAGCACTCTCGGTATTTTTTTTACTTTATTCGATAGAAAATGACATTCTGAATAGAATGACATATCATATGTCAACTTTTGACATTCTCGCTTAAAACAAAATTGAATTTTAAAATTCAATCTAGAGTGCGATGGTTATGTTAAAAACACTAATTCTTAATCAAGAAGCCTTGGAAAAATAGATTTGATTGTCTAATGTTTTTAGTGTCTTGTCCTGGCCAGTTAGAAAATGCTCAAATCGTATTTTTAATTATATCTCAATTTTTTCAAATGGAACGAGGGTGGCTCATTAGCATATTTGGAAAAAGCATTTTTTTACGAATAATTTGGTACCACACACTTGGTATTTCGAGTCAAATTTTCGTTACGAGCCGCAAGTTATAATTTCAAATAAACCATATGCCAAAATGTCAAAAGTTGACATATGATATGTCATTCTATTCAGAGTGTTATTTTCTATCGAATATCTCGTCTTTGAATAAGAAGACTAAGGAAGGAGCATAATGCTATCCATGTATTGGTGGGCGGAAAAAGCACTCTAGGGTGGGGATCTCTGACAGTTCTGTTTGACGATTCATTTGACACATTTGAATTTGATTTGAAATTTTGTGGATTTGTCAGTCTTTACGGAGCTTATTTTATGTTATTTATTATTTATTCTACTACTGATAGTTATATAAAGGTAGTAAATCTAGATGGAAATTGTGGCAGAACTTAAATTAACAGTGACAGTATCGCGATTTATCGAAAAAGACTCTAAAATAGTTGGTTGTGTAGCGTGCGGTATATCTCGGCAAAAATAGGTGAAATAATGGAACAACTTTTCGCTAGTAAGTGACTATATAATATACATACGTGTAGTAAACCGATTATTTATGAAATTCACTTAAATTAACTAAATTATATATTTTTCTTGCATTTTAGCTTTTATTTATTACTTGTCAAAGATTAGATGTCAAAGAATTTAGATACATTAATTTGACTTACCTGCTTCAGTAGCGTTTCGGATGTTTGTGCTAATAAATACTTATTATAACTTATCTATTTTTATTAGAATTATATATTTTTATAACAATTTTAATAACTACCAACATTTATTCACAACGTAAAATAAAACAACAAATTATTGAGTCTACCCCACGTCTACCCTACATCATAGTTTTATATTTTTTAAATAAAATTAGAACGACACTGATAAACCGGAATTTAAGTCGGCCATATTTGAGGCCCATCGCGGTATACCTAAGATTTTTGATATGCTCCTTCCTTAGTCTTCTTATTCAAAGAATAAAGTAAAAAAATACCGAGCGGGCCATTTAAAAATCAAAAGTTGCAGTCATTTCCGGTGAAACAGGAAGTGACAGAAAACAATTGAATACGTCAGTCAATCCTAATTTATGTCATATACTGACGTACCAAGTATCGTTTTTTTATCTGAAAAAATAAAAAAGTTATAGGGGGTGAGCCACTTTCCAGACGCACCCGGTATGAAAATTGCTGTCATATTGCGTCGGTATTTCCGGAAGTGTCTGTAATATAAACGTATGAAGCTGTTTAATATTACACCATACAATAAATGTCCAAATTAATAAACGTTGCTTTAATAATTAAAAATGTCGCTTCAGCTTGTATTAATAAAGAGAGAGAGATGCACTTATTTATATTATCAAATAAATTATTCATGTATAAATTCATGTAAATTGCGATGTTATTATTTATTATAACTAATAGCAAATTAATAATATTGTCAGATAAAACTTAATTATTACATGGAAAATGAAAGATAAATTCTCAAACCGGTTATGCTAACGTTACTAGAATTTACAGAATAGAATACTTTACATACTAAGCCACCGAATATTAACTGTGCGAATATCTATCAACTAAACACAGCGAAACATACACAGCACTAATTATCTCAAAAAACATACACACATCTATATTTATTCCCGCTGCGAAATTAATGATCTTATCTCCCTCAACAATCCCTTTGATTCCTTATCAAATACTATTGTATTTGATAATATATTAAGAAGTATTCCCACTTCAAATAGTGGTAATAACAAAAAAGAATGATTAAGTGTGTGCATACGGCATGCGCTAAATTAGATAACCGATTTTCGACTACGTCATTGCCACGATAGATTCAACGTAAAAAAAATATTGCGACAGTGGATCTGTACGAGGTTTTTATAAGGTTTGGAGCTGCTGATTCATCGCTCATTTTTACAACTAAGAGTGACTTGTGAGTTTATTGCAATTAAATATCTATTACCTACGAGCCCAGTCGCATATGAATTGGACCAAAAAGATAATACGATGTTGCATTTCTGAATTTTTGCTTATTTAAAATAACTCTAACAAAAACAACTAGGATAATTTGATACAATATGTATTAGTGGAGTGCTTTAAGCTCTTAGGAAATACAAACCTCGGAATTCATTTACTGTGAACGAATTTTTATAAAAATTTTTGCATTGTATTGTTAATAAGATATATTACAAAGTTTTTAAATTTTTTATTTTAAGTTTAGTATTTAAATAAACACACACATATACAAATGCATATATACAAGATGGCTCCGGTTTTCCGGAAAAGCTCTGTATCAGGATTCCTATTTGAGATTTTCACTCCAAACCTTTTACAAAATATATGATTAATAGTAGTTCACATTTAAAAAAATATTTTTATAGATATACAGGGTGAGTCAAATATATATCATTTATTTATTCGACTTTAGTGAAATACCTTAATACCATAGAGTATATTAAATGGTCTTTGAATTATGACCACGTCCATAAGGACGTCCATATAGACCTCCAGGAACCTTCGTATGAGAACTTCTAATCGAGACGATCGACTTATTGTAAGTTTATCGCTAAGAAACCCCCGTTTGTCAGCTTTTCAAATTGATAATGAATTGCACTTAAGAACCGTACATATTAACTCTAACGGACTACAAGAAGAAGATTAAATGAAGCAAATCTTATGTCAAGAAGGCCTGCTTCGGGACCAGAACTTACTAGATGTGTTGACTAGGCCCAAAAGCAAAGGCATGGTCTTAATGTAAAAATTACGAAAAATGTTAGTGCCTTCTTTAAAACCGAATATTTCCAACAAAAATAAAGCTAATGAGATAAACCAAAAAACAAACCATCGAGAAAGGATGTATCTAGATGATAAAATAATTTTTAAATTTCTTGCTGTTTTAACATATTTTACAGGGTGTTTCAAATTTTCATCAAAAATATCAACATTTTATTTTCCGGCGTATAATTAACAGATGGGGAGTTTCATTTTTAATTTAGAAAGAGATACTAAGAAGTCAAATAATTTGGCAACACACTGCTTAAAAAATCATCAAAATCGGTCCATTAAAATAAAATATATTAACCTCTTTAAAATACATCAAAGTTTTAAGGTGCCCATTTTTCGTGCCGGTGATTGTATTTCAAAAACTATACATTTTAGTCATATACTTTTCTAATGAAACAAACCTTTATTTTTTGACTAGAATCCTAAAATCAATTAATATATAGGGTGTTCCATTACAAAAAACATCTTTGATGTGTAACTTTTTTTGGGGACACCCTGTAGAACTCTACATAATTTTAGAAAATACTTTGAATTGACTTACATAAGCTCAGAAAATATCACTTCAATACAAACTTTTGTTCTTACAAAAACCGCGTCGTATATGACGCGCCACCCTGTATAATTCGATTTCAATCAAAATTTCAATGATTAGAATATAAGCAGAATAGGTATAGCTTATGTATTAGATTTATTTATTTCAATAAATTTACTTAGAAAAAGAATTAAAAAAATCAAAATATTAAGAAGGAAATAATTCAGAATTTACTAAAATTACTAAAATAAAAAATTAAAAGCAACGAAAAAAAAAGGGTAAACATTTTAGTATTTTATCTATAAAACACAATACAGAAGGTTTCATATTAATACATTCACAGTAATTGAATTCCGAGGTAAAAGTCTCTGGGCACTCCACTATACAGGGTTGTTCACCACATACGACACGGAGTATTGTAGCTAAACGATGAGATTTTTACAAATTGTAAGTTTTGGGTTCGATGAAGGACTATTAGAGGTACAATTTAAAATTAATTTTACAAGATACAGAGTGTCCCAAATAAGTAAAAAATATCAAAGTTGTATTTTTTTAAATGGAACACCCTGTATATTATTACATTTTTAGTTTCTACGATTAAAATAAAGGTAAATTTGATTAAGGTTTATTATACTTAAACCTTACCGTTTTTGAAATATTTTCAATGTTGAGAAATTGCAGTAAAAATTTTAAGGCTTCATTTCTCCAAGGGTATCAAAGTTTTTAATACTAAATATTTACTGAAGTTTATTTATTGATCAGTTATTTTGTTGCAATAATAAAAATAATACTACCTTATACAGGTGCCTAAAAATTTATTTTAAATAATTATTAGCTTCAAACGGCAATAACTTGTTTAATTTAAACGGAACACCTTGTATATTTTACGAGAATCAGATGCAAAATTTAATTGTCTATCAAATTATATTATACCATTTTTTACCTATCTCTTTAAGTTTCCGTAGAAAATGCATTTTCTTGTAATTTAGTACTTATTTATCAATATACCCATGGAATATTGACATTTTAGATTATTTTTAAAGATGTACCAAATTTGTAAAGAGTACAGATATTAATATTGTCGATATAATTTGTTTATTTTATTAAAAAATAAAAAAACTGTTTAAATATTTGTTAAAGGGGACCAATTAATATGATTCCAGTATTCAAACTACATTAAAACACCTTAAAAATGATATTTCATTTTTTAATAAATACTTATTTATAACAACAGAGACTTTAATTTTGATAACTTATTATTATATTGATTTTTGATTCAAATCCACATTTATTTAGAATAATTTATTAACGAACACAATTAAGTATGTAATTAATTAGTATATGGGCGGAAATAATGGTGTTATATTTAATTAATGGTATACTCTTTTATAAAGATTTAAATAGTTTTCTTTTTGCATACAAATGGGCTAGTAATATTATCGTTTTGCTAAAAACGATAATATTACTAGCCTGTACGTTTTGTAGATTTGTTGCTTTAAACACAATCTAAAATGTCAATATTCCATAGGTATATTGATAAATAGGGTCTAAATTATAAGAAAATGCATTTTCTACGAAAACTTGAAGGGATAGGTAAAAAATAGTATAATACAATTTGATAGACAATTAAATTGTGCATCTGATTCTCCTAAAATATACAGGGCGTTCCATTTAAATTAAAGAAGTTATTTGCGTTTAAAGCTAGAAATTATTTAAAATAAATTTGTAGACACTCTGTATAAGGTAGTATTATTTTTATTATTGCAACACAATAACTGATCAATAAATAAACTTCAGTAAATATTTAGTATTAAAAACTTTGATACCCTTGGAGAAATGAAGCCTTAAAATTTTTACTGCAATTTCGCAAAATTGAAAATATTTCAAAAACGGTAAGGTTTAAGTATAATAAACCTTAATCAAATTTACCTTTATTTTAATCGTAGAAACTAAAAATGTAATAATATACAGGGTGTTCCATTTAAAAAAATACAACTTTGATATTTTTTACTTATTTGGGACACTCTGTATCTTGTCAAATTATTTTTAAATTGTACATCTAATAGTCCTTCATCGAACCCAAAACTTGAAATTTGTAAAAATATAATCGTTTAGCTACAATACTCCGTGTCGTATGTGGTGAACAACCCTGTATAAAGCAAAAAAAATAAAGTCCAGCAGTTGACGGAAAACGGAATTCTCAGTCACGGATTTCTCTCTCTCATGGATCGCCTGCAGGTGTTTGTTAACAAATGTCTCCGAATCCAATCAAATTAACAACGAAGAACTGTGGAGACGAACATCGCAAAATCAAATCGATATCGAAATTTAGAAAAAAAGCGGGTCTGGATTGGGCACATTTTGCAGACCTCTCAGAGATATAGCAAGACAGGCACTTGAATCGAACTCACGGGAAGACCAAGAAGAACACCCTGGAGAAGAACAGTAATCGCTGAAGCCCAAGAGATTGAGAAAACATAGGGAGGGATCAAACAGACAGCTCAGAATAGGATTAAATGGAAACATCTCTTAGAAGCCCTATGTCCCATGAAGGGATGACGCCGACGGGGGAACACCTACAGTGTCGCTGTTATGTATGGAATTCGATTATTAGGTAAAATATACAAGAGACCGTAAAAAGATAATATAAAAATTCTTGAGTTTTTAAATGTCTATTGGCGTGTAATAAATTTATGTGTACAGGGTCGGTCGTAAAGTCGTGGCACATCAAAGTTTATTTTTTTTAAATAGAACCCCCTGTATATTATTGCACATTTCAATTCTAAGCAAAAATCGAAATACACACAATGTACCTCAAACCAACAATTTCCGAGTAATTGACTTTTGAACATATCACTCAAACAATTTAATTTATTTAATTTCGATATCCAGTTTCATTTAAGGATGCTATTCTGCCGAAACTGTGATACTTAATAATATTTGACATTAGTTCTTAAGTTATTCGCATCGAAGCTTCATTTTTTTTAAACAGAACCCCCTTATATTATTGCATATTTCAATTCTTCCTTCAATTCTAAGCAAAAATCGAAATACGTACCTCAAATAAATGTATACCTCAAATAATACCTCAAACGACCGTTAGTTTCCGAGTTATTGATTTTTGAACATATCACTTAAACAATTTGATTTAATTATTTTTGATATGTTCAGTTTTATTTAATGATGCCATTCTGATGAAACTGGAATACTGTTGTAATGGGATTTTAACTGCCTATTAGCTACTAGTAAATTTAAGTATACAGGGTCGGTCATAAAGTTGTGGCACATCAAACTTTATTTTTTTTAAATGAAACTCTCTCTATATTATTGCATATTTAAATTCTTCCTTCAATTTTAAGCAATAATCGTACACACTAACACAATGTACATAAATTGAAGAATTTGTAAAACTTGGAAAATAAGTTGGTTATAATAATGGTTTTATAATTCGGAAACTCTCTATTTATTTATCTAGTAATGGTAAAACACTCTATTTGAAAGTCGATTAGAGAAAATAGTATGATTCATTGGCAAGTAATGTAAATATTTACGATCCGGTACAATTGTGATGTAAGAGGAGGCTTAGCTTGCCTGCGGCAGGTCAGTAGTAGATAGGCCGGCCGGCTGTTGTGTTGTGTTTTGTCATAGAGCTGATATTTGGGGGTTGAAAGTCTTTTGACTATAAACGTTGCATGTACTGTAAGGCAACGGGTCGTTTGACCAGAAGAAAACCTCTTGTGACGTCTTGCCTTCGAGGTTGGTCTTGAGAGTTTGAGGTCTCCCTTGTCTTCTCGATTGACACGATGCGGCGTTGGGGTAGAGAGACTAGTGAGGTACCCCAATTAGCTTATTCGATTGGGATGCGAATCTGTTTAGCGGTAGAATTGCGTCCGGGGGAAGCCCCTATACTATTTCAGGTGACACTAGCTAGTTGTTGAAGATGATTAACCAATATATAACCGAATGATATTTGAATTAGTTGGAAAATATGGAATGGGATATATTGAATAGAATATATCAGTGGCTAGGGGGCGGAGTACTCCCAGGTGAGTCTTACTATTTAACTATCAATTTTATCCAGATCAGTAAATGTTTGTTTTGTTATTTTCATGTACAATGAGAGAGTGCTTGCCAATGACCAACTAAATGGATATTTGAGGTGAATTTGCATTGTGAGACCTGGTTGAGTAAGCCCCAAAAATAGCGATTTTACAAATTGAAATGTTAAACGAAAATTTTGTAATTTCCAGACTTGATATAATCTCGTTTTATACATCTATAAATTTTAACTTAAGAACTAATGCCAAATATTATTAAGTATCACAGTTTCGGCAGAATAGCATCCTTAAATGAAACTGGATATCGAAATTAAATAAATTAAATTGTTTGAGTGATCTGTTTAAAAGTCAATTACTCGGAAATGGTTGGTTTGAGGTACATTGTGTGTATTTCGATTTTTGCTTAGAATTGAAATGTGCAATAATATACAGGGGGGTTCGGTTTAAAAGGTTCGGTTAGTTTTATTTAAAAAAAATAAATCTTTGATGTTCCACGACCTTATGACCTACCCTGTATACTTGTACTGTATGACATAAATTGGGATTAATTGACATTTCAATTGTTTTCGGTCACTTCCTGTTTCGCCGGAAATGACTACAACTTCGGATTTATAAATGGCACCCTCGGTATTTTTTTACTTGGAAAAATAGATTAGTTCGTCTAATGTTTTTAGTGTCATGTCCTGGCCGGGTTAAAGATGCCCAAATCGTATTTTTAATCATATCTCAATTTTTTCAAATGGAACAAGGGGGCTCATTAGCATATTTTGAAAAAGAATTTTTTTACTAATAATTTGATACCACACACTTGGTATTTCGAGTGAAATTGTCGTTATGAACCGCATGTTACAATTTCAAGTAAACCATATGCGATAATGTCAAAAGTTGTAGTTGTCATTTTCTATGGAATAAAGTAAAAAAATACCGAGGGTGCCATTTAAAAATCAAAAGTTGTAGTAATTCCCGGTAAAACCGGAAATGACAGAAAACAATTGAATATGTCAATCAATCCCAATTTATGTCATATTCTAACATACCAAATCTCGTTGTTTTATCTGAAAAAATAAAAAAGTTATAGGGGGTGAGCCACTGTTGAGACGCACCCGGTATATATTTACGATTGATTTCACATGTCAAAATGGGAATAGTTACGTGATAAGCACTATATAGATCATAATAAAACACAATAATATAAGGGAAAAAAACGGCATATTTTTATGTCTCTGGTTATTTTTTAATCAGTTTTTAAATTAACAAAAACAATATTATATAAAAAAAAAATTGCAAACATTTTATACAATTACTATATCATAATTTCGTAATATTCTCTATATTTAAACCCAGTCTCTTTCGCATACTTCTGATACTATAAGAATTAGTTTAGCCCTCTGAAATTCGTTCATATTTTCTATTTTTTTCGATATCATAGCGAAAAAGTCTACATCTTCGACGGCCACGTCCACTGAACTATTCTTTTCACCAAACACGATATTGCTGAAGAATATTGCATGTTTTGTTTCGCCGTCCTTTGCTGCTGTTTCCAGTTCTTTTAAGTACTCGTCATAAGTAAGCTCTAGGTCCAAATCGAACGGTTTTAAAAGTTTTGTGAATTCGTCGTAGTAACATCTGAAATAGAGATTTATAAGCCTTTTAATATTTCTGATAATATTATAATGTTACGGCAAAAGTGGATACTTGGCTAGTTTTAAAACTAGCCAGCTATTTTGCAAACTAACTAAAAGCGATGTTATTTTGAAGGAATCCGCCTATTCTTGCAAAATAGCAGACAAACGCAGCTAGTTTATATTTTACCTCATTTTACTAAAATAGCTGCTAGTTTACATAGTTACTAGATAGTATACAAAATTTATTTTAATTGTTCTTGTTTGTTACTTCCAGTGTTAGGATGGATAGGATAATACTTTGGTGCAGTGCAATTCCTAACTGTTAGAGACGAGCAATCGGTGTAGGAGGCACATAGGAGGCATTCTAATGGTGTTTACCGTCGGCCTGTCCGAGATTTAGTTTAGTTCTGATCGTCGTTTACAGCGCCAGCGGACAGAGTAAAGAATACTATGTATAATATTATATGATTAAACAAAGAACGGCGTCAGAGTTGGCTTGGAAATAAAGATCGCTGTTATCTCATATGGAAAATATTATGGTAAATGTCAATAATCGTGATTTCCAAGCCAACTAAAAGACTTTTCTATCATACGACTATTCAGTACCTTTTTTAAAGAATAAGTAAATAATAATATAAATAATAATAATAAATAATAAGTAAAAGAATTTTTGTTTATTCTATGTATACAGGGTCGCTTTTATGTATGGAAATGGACGATTATTAGGTAAAATATAGGAGGTACCGTAAAAAGTTAAATAAAAAAGTTATACGATTTTTAAATATCTATTAGCGAGTAATAAATGTAAGTATCATAAAGTCGTAGTACATAAAAATTTCATTTTTTAAATAGAACCTCCTGTATATTATTGCATATTTCAAATCTTCCTTCATTCTAAGCAAAAATCGAAATACACAATGTACCTCAAACCAACAGTTTCCGAGCTATTGACTTTTGAAAATGCCACTTAAACAATTTGATTTAAATAATTTCTATATGTTCAGTTTCATTTGACGATGCCATTCTGCCGAAACTATGATACTGTTGTAATGGGTTTTTAAATGCCTATTAGCTACTAGTAAATTTAAGTATACAGGCTCGGTCATAAAGTTGTGGCACATCAAACTTTATTGTTTTTAAATGAAACCCCCTGTATATTATTGCATATTTCAATTCTTCCTTCAATTTTAAACAATAATCGTAATACACAATGTACATAAATTGAAGAATTGAAATGTTAAACAATTTTGTAATTTCCAGGCTTGATATAATCAAATTTTATACATTTATAAATGCTAACTTGAGAATTAATGTCAAGTATTATTGAGTATCACAGTTTCGGCAGAATGGCATCGTTAAATGAAACTGAACATATCGAAATTAATTAAATCAAATTGATTAAGTGATATTTTCAAAAGTCAATAACTCGGAAACGGTTGGTTTGAGGTACATTGTGTGTATTTTGATTTTTGCTTAGAATTGAAAGAAGAATCGAAATATGCAGTAATGTACAGGGGGTTCTATTTAAAAAAATGAAACTTTTATGTGCCACGAGTTTATGACCGACCCTGTATACTTAAATTTATTACTCTTGTATTTAACTTTTTGAGGTACCTCCTATATTTTACCTAATAATCGATCGTTTCCATACATAACAGCGACCCTGTATATATTTAACACGAATAGATTTTTAAAAACATAAACGAGGATTTTTCACCCAAAGGTATTCTCGTCAAACGTATTACACATATCACACTTCGCTAGCCGAATTAGAGAACATAAGTGTTTTATGCGTTAGGCGCAGAAGGATTGGTGTGTCTACCGTACAGCACTTGAGACATAAGGGGAAATCAATTCAGACTTGTCACGAATTCGCCCATTAGGTTGTGTAGGTATCTTCCCAATTTTTTCAATCAACGGTACTAGGGAGATGCACTATTGCTTCTCCTGTCCTTCCCGAGTTCCGAACAGAGAATATTATTCTATAAGTCAAATAATAGTTACCTGAGTAGATCATCAAAGTGCTCTTTGTGAACATCGTTTCTTAAGCTAGTCAAGAAAAAGAACACCACATCCCTGGCGAACGACTGGTACCTACAGCCTTGAAAATCGACCAGTTTAACTAGTGGTTCCTTGCCTGGTTGCGGCTTAATCATTACATTGTTTACCCAGAAATCCCCGTGAGAAATCGTAGCCCACGGTTCAACACCTGGCTGAGAACCCGGTGGTCCCATAGGCTTATTCAGGAGAGGCTCTAATCTTGCAACAAAGGGCGAGCACTCTGGTATGTTTTGAATAGCTTTCAACAGAAGTTTGTCGGGCCCTTCGTGGCCCTCTGGTGGGCCATTTTTGTTGTCTTCCCCTGGGGGACCTTTAGGTGGATGCGGGTGCGGTGTGTCAAGGAATTCCTTAACTATTTTGTATTGTTCTGGGTCTTTGCTTCGAAGCGCTATAGGGATGGCGTGGAATAAGGCTAACTTCTTAAGAATACCTTTTGCTGTGATTAGATCGAAGCCAATGAAACGGTCTTCGTTCTGATAGCCTGGAAAGTAAAGTAGTATTTAAAATAAAGTTGTGTTCTTGGATAAATGTAGTTTATATTATCATTCTCGCTAAAACTGCTGTTTGCATCATGAATATGTAATATGGTACCAGTGGCGTGCCGTATAAGGGGCACGGGGCACGGGGCACGGGGGGGCGATTGCCCCCTCCGCCCTTAGCTCTGACTGAGTGACGCGCCCTAGTGAAATCACAAAATTGTACGTACAATCTAACTATTCTCATTCTACGATCACGTTATGGTCTAGTCTTTTTATTTGTTCGCATTTTCGACATTTTCCTAACCAACACTACTTTTTGTAAGAGCTGTTAGCAACGTTGCTTTGTCCAGTCGAATTTCGCGCCTTTAATCGATTATGATAAGTTTAGCGGTAGAATTGCGTCCGGGGGAAGCCCCTATACTATTTCAGGTGACACTAGCTAGTTGTTGAAGATGATTAACCAATATATAACCGAATGATATTTGAATTAGATGGAAAATATGGAATGGGATATATTGAATAGACTTTTAACAGACCTAAGTCTGTAAAAACAAGACGCTTAAAATTTTAATTAAGCAGATAGTTTTATTTTTTGTTCGTATTTTCCCTAGTAGTACAGTAATGTAATAATGTATGAATAAATACATCCCAATACAACCCCTATAACCCGAAGTACTGTATAATCCTATAATCCAAGCGCCCCAATCGTGTAAAATGAACCATAATCTGAACACCTTGAATTCGGCAATTTGAATTACTCTGCATGTACCCGGCGCCCTCAACATAGCTCGCCCACCCCGCCTTTTAACCACGGAACGCTACTGTTCCCGCAGGCTTGTTCTCTCATACGGGGTGAGGTGTGATTCAGGATCGAGAGTAGGTTAGATGTTTATGAAGAACGGCTACAGGAATAGGTATACTCAATTTAAAATACTTCTGTTTCGTATTTAAAGATAGTAGAAAGATTTTGTAATGTAATTATTTGCGACGATGCCGATTAACTATCTCAACATTTTTAAAAAACGTCAATTCTGACAGATACGAGGCCATCTTAATTTGTTTTAAATGGAAACCTCACATATTTTGGCATCGTCCGGTAGACATATTTTAGCTAATTTCCAAAATATATATATAGTTTAGTATTCTTTGCGCTTACCGTTTTCGATATACAGTGCCATTTAAAAATTAAATTATAAAGTTCCAGAATCATTTTCAGTGTCTCACCCAATTTAAAATTTTCCGGTTTCCCGTTTAAGATAGTAAAAAGATATTTTAATGTAATTTTTCGCGAGGATGTCGATTTTTTATCTGAAAATTTTTAAAAACGTCAATTGTGACAGATATGACGACATTTTAATTGACGAATTAATTTTAAATGTGAAAGAGGTGTCTTTAAAGTTTTTAGAGCTATTGAGTGTATAAATACGTTCATTTTGTGTTGTGGATTGTGACAAAGTGCATACTAAGTGCCCACGATTTTGTTTATTAATTATTTTAAAGCAAAATATGGAAGTACTCTAAAAAGAATGCTTGCAAATGGCGATGCTGGGAACTGCTGTTCTTAAAAATGCATTATCCGAGTATTTAATACGATTAATACAGTTAATTTTCTATACTGCATACATATAAGGTGTTTAAATAAATAAACTAAATAATGAACGTTTTGCACGTATAATGATAATGCACGTGTGTGTATTATTGGTTGCCGGATAAGGACTAATAACCATGACAAGGACTACAATGACGTCACAAAGCGAGTAGTTTTCGCATGCACCTGGCGGACACTTTTGGCTGAATGAGCAGTCCTATTAGGTTAACTGTTCTTGCACCTACCCCAGCATCCTTCAGGCAGAAATCAGACGCTATCGAAAAATGCGTACAATTTATCTTAGACAGGAACACTAAACGCGATCAACCATCAATTCGAAGTTGGTCAAAGAATGCTTAGAGAAGCTCAACAAATTGCAAATTAAGCAAAGAAAATAAAGTCCTCCTACTCTGGGTGCCTGCTCACCAAGGGATAGAAGGCAATGAAAAAGCAAATGATCTAGCTAGAAAAGGAGCGAACACTCCACTAACTAGTAAAAACGTTCTGTTTTCTAAGCGGGAACCAACTGAAAGTGAAACTGAAGAATCTAGAAGACTCCATCCGTAACTTGGAATTCCTGGAAACTGGAAAGATTCTCCTACGGTCTAAAACACTCGAAAAAGTTTCTCAGAACTTACGACCGAGAAAAATCAAAGGTTTTCCTTGATTTAAGGAAAAAGAATCTTCGGATTGTCACGCGGCTTCTAACAGGACACTGTCTCCTCAACGAATACTTCAGTAACAACGGCGAATGCTTAATGTTTAAAAAAAAGTAAATAAACTATTTTGATTGATTGATTGATTGATTGAATGCAGATTATGTAGGGAAAATGAGGAAACACCAGAACACCTTATCACTGAGTGGGCCGAGACGACGACCATTCGTGCCATGAACTTTGGTATGGCTGATGTCGAGGATGGAGAGCTGGTCTCTGTGGAGCCGTCTCAGATATTGGCTTTTGTTAAAGCCCTGCGACTGTATGATGAGCTATTACTAGTTATAACTCATGAAAGGGGTACACAAAATAGATCTGTAAGGTTGCGGTGATTAACTCCACTCCTAAACATTCTACATTCTACATGGCAACTAATTAGTTACTGCTCACGAAAAAAGTTAGACTTAGAATTTAGTTGTTAAGCTTATATTTAATAGTGCGGATAGATGGAGTAGTTTTGTGCTAGATCTCGCCCCATCTTTTATTATGATATTTTGTAATTTGTTTTTCTTGGGTACTAAATAAAGACATTTATTATTATTATTATTTTCATTTATCTCAGTAATTTTTACTGGTTTTGACCTCTCTCTGGATTTACGGGCGCGATGCCAAAGTAAGTCCAAATATTTACTAAATGCCGCCAAGGAATTTTCGGACAATTCTACAGGTACTCAATATTACTGCCTTCTGTAAGCTGATATAGATAGAGGATGGAATATTTAATATTGTAAGTGACTCTTGTAGCGTGTGTGGTATTACTCCGGTAGCAGATAATACAACAGGGACCACAATGACAGTATCAAAATGCCATTGTTGTTTTATTTCTAATACAAGTTCTGAATATTTACGAATTTTCTCGTTCTGGGCAGCTTGCAAATTGTTAGAATCTGGCACTGCAACGTCTATTAAAAAAACCTTCTTTTGTCCTCTGTCAATAACTGTAATATCTGGCCTATTATGTGAGATGGTTATGTCAGTTATCAGAGTTCTATCCCAATAAATCTTTGCCTTTTCATTTTCCAAAACTTTTTGCGTTGAGTATTTATAATAAGGTGTTCGTTCTGTTAATAATTGATAGTTGAAGGCTAATATCTCGTGTAAGATTTTTGCTACATCATCATGCCTTGACTTATATTCGGTGTTCGCAATAGTTTGACATCCCGTGACTATGTACTGGATATTCTCGGTTTCAGTGTTACAGCGTCGACATTTATCATTTACTGTACCGTCTTTTATTATATATTTTTTATAATTTTTAGTGCAGATTACCTGGTCTTGTATGGCGCACATAAATCCTTCTGTCTCGGGAAACAATTTTCCACACGTTAACCACACGTTCGAGGCATTTTTATCGACATGTGAACCGTTTAGGATATGAGCATGTCTCCCGTGTAAGGCTTTCTGTAACCAAGTTTGGTGTTTCTCTTCGTTTGATATTGTCGTGAACTGAGTGTCTGCAGATAAATTTAATGAGGAATATCCTGTGTCTGCTGCAACTACGGCTTGATGTAAATGTGATGTTCTAGCTTTTTGTTTAAAGTACTGTTTTAACGAATTTTTTTGTCTGTTTAATAAATTAGCGATGTCAATCAATCCCCGTCCTCCATGAGCGCGTGGTAGTGGTAGTCTCTCCGTAGCTGAATGTATATGGTGATATCTATAATTTGTTAGTATTTTATTTGTTTTTCTCTTAATGTCTTGAATGTCGGTGCTAGTCCAATTTATTATTCCAAATGTGTATACCAGCAAAGGGATAGCGTATGTATTAATTGCCTTTATAAGATTTCTGCCATATAATTTTCTCTTAGCAAGGCTTTTGACTCTTTCCAGATACTTGATTGTTACTTCTTGTTTAGTTATTTTTTCTTCCATAATTCGTGACTGCTTTATCCCTAAATACCTATACATTTCTCCCTCTTCCATTCCCTCTATCAGTCCTCCCGACCTCTACCAATTCAAACCCTACAATCTCGATAGATGCTTTGAGTCTTATATTTTTCAATACCGAACTTCATTCTAACATCATTACTAAATATTTCAATCATTGTAAGCGCTTCCTTCAGTTCCTTAGCAGTACTACCATATATTCTTATATCGTCCACATATAATAAATGTGACAGTCGGTATGAGGTATTCTGGTTGCGATGGACAATATATCCTTTATTGAGATTGTTTAAGATATTAGATAGAGGATTTAAAGCTAGGCAGAACCATAGATGACTAAACGAGTCAGCCTGAAATATTCCTGTTTTTATTGGTATACTTATAGGGGGTATTCCATTTGCATTATTTTTAGTTGTTAATGACGTTCGCCACTGGGTCATACTATACTTCAAAAACTGGGATAAAGCTGGATTGATCTTATAAATATTCAATACCTCAAGTAGCCAACTGTGTGGGACAGAATCAAACGCCTTTCGAGAATCGATATAAGCCGTGTAAATATTTCGGTTAGTCTTATACGCTTGTTTCATTATTATGGAATCTACTAGTAACTGCTCTTTACATCCCTGTGAGCCTCTCTTACAGCCTTTTTGTTGTTCTGCTAGAATGTTATTAATTTCACAATGCCTGTAAATCATATCCGCAATATATGCCGTCAAAATCTTTTAGATCGTAGGAAGACACGTGATAGGTCTGTAATTAGCAGGATTTTGAGTGTCGTTGTTCTTTGGCAATAAATAAGTTATTCCATTGCAAAGAAACTGGGGCATTGTGTGTGGTTCTACGATAAAACCGTTTAAATATTTTGTAAGGTCTTTATGTGTGCTCGTAAATTTCTTTAGCCAATAATTGTGGATGTAATTGTTACCTGGTGCTTTCCAATTTTGTGTTTTGTTTATTGTTGCTACTAATTCAGTTAATGATATTTGGTTGTACTGCATTGGCTATCTTACACGCTCTTTGATTTTCAGCATCGATCCAGCTATTTTCATCATCATGTTGAACTTCTTTACACCATATTTCTTCCCAATATTTTTTGATACAATTTCTTTCTGGCAGTCTCGAAGAAGGAACTATTTCATTTTTTAGTGCTCTATAAAACTGGCCCTCCCTAAGTTGGAACTGTCGATTTTCTTGACGCCTTTGGTTGGAAACCTTGTACCGTCTCAGTCTTTTTGACGCTGCTGATAGTTTTTGTTTTAACGTATCTAAAAATTCTTCTACCGTATTGTTGTTTTCCTCATGCTTAGAATGTACTTTGTTATTCTTTAATAGGGCTTCAACCTTATTATTTCGTTTTGTTGATCTTTGCCCGCGACTATACTATGTTAATTGGTTAACATTCATTCTCAGGTTCTGAATCTTATTTTCCAGTCTTTTTTGCCATGGAGGGATTTTCATGCGTTTTGAATCTGTTTGTCTTTGTTTACTTTTCTCAATTTTTGCACCATTTTCAATTGCACAAACTAATGCGGCACAATAAATTAAGCAATGGAAGTCTTCAAAGCTGTATATAGACATTAAAAATCTTGGTAATAGGCTGTTTACTCTCGATACAATACTGGCAAGTTTTTTTGAAGTACTTTGTTTTGGTATTATTAATCTTCGTGTTGGGTCGCTTCCTCGAAATTTAATAAAGGTTTCCTACAGTTTGCCTTCTAATTCAACATTTTCACTGGTTTGATCATTTTCGCTTTCGCGGGGCTCTTGAATTGCCCTTCGATTCTCTTCACAAGTATGTTCCGCTATTATTGTTTGTAACTCTGTATTAATTGAGGCGTGCTGCTGCTCTTCATTATTGCACCGTCCCATCACCACATCCACTGTGCTATTTTGAGCTTCTAGTTGCTCACTCACCTGCTCCTTCAGTTCATTAATTATTACGTCCGATAAAAGTTTTCTATGTATAATGGTTCTTCTCTGATCTGCTAACCGTTGTTCCGTAATTTGCAGATGTGGATTTTCATTAACAAATGTGTTGTACATTTTAGCCCTGTATAGTGTCATATAGCTTTCTAGATTTGTAGCTATGAAATAGCAGCGCATGACACTTTTATTTAAATCAGTTGTCCATTTCATGCGCTGCCGTGGAAGTCCCGCTTTAGTGGTAGTGATTGGTTTATTCACTAAAGCACCGGAAGCAGGATATTGTTCAGAACCAGTTTTATTGCTTAGGTCGTCAACGTTGGGCTGGATACGAGCGTCAGATACAGCCCGACTAAGAGGCATCCGAGGCTAAGTTTAAATCTTTATTATTCTCCATGAAATAAAATTATTTATGGGTGCATTTTACCTACTGCCAGGTTTGAGTCCGGCCGCTACTAACATGGAGATCAGACGCCGCGCCGCCCCTATGCCGCTCGTTTCGAGACAGACGCATAGGGGATTTCTTGTACTTCTAAGCCGTCCTAACATGGAAAACAGAAGCTGATTGGATACCGCTCCTGACATGGAGAACCGTCGTACCCTGTGCTAGTTTTTCGTCCACCCCGGATATTTCATTTCTCCGATACCACCCATATCTGGGAGGCTTGCCCCTATCCGCTACCTGGGGAGGCGCCCGGTATGGAACTAGCAAAACCACGCACTTATTATTATTATTATTATTATTTGTCTAATTGGACATTTTAAAGAATTCTAAAATTCGAAAATTGTAAACTGGATGAGTCGCTTAAAATGATTCTGGAAGATTTTATTCTTAAATACACTGTATATCGAAAACGGTAGGTGTAACGTATACTAAACTATATTTTTAAAATTAGCTAAAATATCTACCGGGCGATGCTAAAAGTTGGCATCGTATCTGTCAAAATTGACGTCTCAAAAAAATTTGAGGCAAGAAATCGGCATCTACGCAAAAAGTTACATTAAAATTTCTTTCTACTATCTTCAAATAGAAAACTTTTCGTAATTTTTACATTAAAACCATGCCTTGGTCCTTGTCCACAGAACTAGTAAGTGAGTTGTGGTCCCAAAGCAGACCTTTTTGACATAACATTTGCTTTGTTTAATCTTCTTTTTACATGTGCGCCCCTTTATTCATTATAAATTTGAAAAACAAACGGCGGTTTCTTAGTGATAAAATTACAAGTGAATCGTCTCGAAGTTCTCATTCTCATTACGAAGGTTCTTGAACGTCTAGTATATGAACATGTCTCGATAAAACGACTGCTATGTGCTTCATGCACACCTAAACCATTTAGTGATATAATTTTTATCTCTATCATTTTCAATTAAAGTAACTATAATGCAACTAATGGAAAGCCGTCCAACATTGGAAGAAAAGCAGGGACGTATCACCAGCTTTGTCGCTATTGCTAGACAAGTTAAAATGGCGGTGCTGCCAAAGGATTACCCAGAGATTGCACTGACCACCGACCAGCAAACGGCTCTAGAAGAGGCGATACTGAACGAAGTTCTGGCGACCGGATCGCAACACAATGATATACAAAATGTGGGTCAGTTGCGTTTTGCGGGGAGACACATTCGGGTGGGCATGATCTTCATACATTGTGTATCTCAGAAATCGGCAAGTTGGTTGGTGGAAATCGCAACTAAGCTTAAAAATTTGCAAGGGCCTGGACTGGTTGCAGTGAAGGAAGAAAACATCTCTAAAGGGGCGGCCATCACGGTCTTTCTGCCTAGGAGGAAGGGGAAAGACACCACCTACCTGCTAAATAAAATACTTCTGGCACAGCAGGTGACACAGTACCGCTGGATCTACGGCCGGTCAAGTCTTTATTAAAAATAATAAAGCAAATTGTGCTAAGCACACAACCAAAACAACGCATTTATACTCAAAATAAAAAGAAAGATCTCATGTGAAATTAGAGAAGGGGGGGTAAGGGTCGAGATAAATCTCAAACATCTCACCAGTGGGGGAGGGGTGGCCAAATAATGTTTAAAAACGTCTTTTTATGAACAAAACGTAATTCGTACGCTCCCTAGCTGTACTATGCTTACCTTGAGGAATTAAATTTTCAACTAACAATACCGATTCTTCATCAGCTTCGGTCTTTGTTGGATCCAAGCTCAATCTGGACCCGAGGAATTTTGCGTATAATTGTCTACTATCAATTCCATATTCGCTCGAGAATTTAGTTAATATAGGAATTATTTCAGAATAAAATTTAATTTCGTTGTTCATCGCGAAACTATGCATCTCGCCTCCCATCGTATTTTTTCCTAATGGTAGTCGTTTGGCTACTGCTTTGACTATCTTTCTGTGGCCATCTTTCTCCGCCTCGATGTCGACTCGTAGCACCAAACTCAAGTAGTTTTCACCGGGTGCCGTTAGGCGAGTAACTTCCACGTTCTTAATATCTCCATCAACATCGATTATCTTGTCTATATCTTTTATTGAATAGTCTATAGGAGCCATTGTCAAATAAACAATCTAAAAAAAGAAAATATCAAGGTTATTTTATAAAATAGTATTAAGTAATAAGTATCACAGTGCCACCCATGATAAATTAAATCATAGTTATAGCAATCAAAGTAATCATATGGTTACAAATTCGTTACCCGTTACTTCGGGTATTCTGATACAAGCAGTTACAGTACTCAAAGTATTCAAAGTAATCATAAAAAGAAAAAGTAACTATTCGTTACTTTCGTTACAATCGTTACTTTCGTTACAATCGTTACTCGAGTACTCGTTACTTATCCGATACCGATACCCAAAGTAACGACTAACGAATTTAAAACCGAACGATTACTTTGATTTCTATAACTACTTATAGTATTTATGATTTAATTTATCATGGATCGGTATTTACACTATATCTAAAGCCGGTCACAGACACTACGTGCATTTGGCGAATATTCAGTATTCGAGCTTATTCGCGTAGCGTGTGGGAGGTTCCTTTCGACGAAGATTCGTACTTCGTCATTTTCCCGGCGGTTGTCGGTAAACTGGCACGAATCAAAGGAGCTCGTAGTGCGGCGTAGTCAACTTCGAAATTACTCCCAGACGCTACGGCTATTTCTTTACGTGTTTTTTTGTTTTAGCGGCGCGCCCCCCTCAATTCCCATGTGTATTGCATTGGTGGCACCGTTGTCGAATTAAAAAAAAGAGTTTTTGATGGCAATGTTTCGCCAGTTACAACTATATTAATAAATTACACAACTAGCAGCGACAATAGCTATCTGCTCTTCTTCACTGTCCATTTTGAACTGCAACAGCACTAAAAATCAAGACGTCGCGGCGGCGTTGCTCTACTACGAGAAATATTTGTCATTCGACGCATTTTTACAAATAACGTAGAGTGTGGGAAGGTGGCCGAAGCCGCAGTACATAATTCGAATGTTCGCACATTCGCCAAATGCACGTAGTGTCTGGGACCGGCTTAAGATATATAATTGCAAAGGTAATCAAATGCGAATTCTATGAATAATAATGATATTAATAATGCACAGCCGAAACTGCTCGACATAGAAACACGAAATTTGGCAAATGCGTTCCTTAAGTGATGTATGTGAGCACTAAGAAGGGATTTTTGGAAATTCGGCCGCTAAGGGTTTGAAATTAGGGGGTTAATAAAAAAATTAAAATCTGTATGAGTATGAAATTTTGCACGGACGGTCCTTGAGCTTGGGTGACGTAATTAAGCACTAAGGGGCGATTTTTGTAAAATCGCCCTCCGAGGGAATGCAATTAGGGAGTTAATATTGTAGGTATAAAAGTTTCTAAATCTATCCTAGATATAAATCTGTCCTATAATGCACAGCCGAAACTTCTTGACATAGAAATACGAAATTGGGTAAATGTGTTCTTTAAGTGATGTAAGTTGTGAATTCGACCGCTAAGGGGTTGAAATTAGAGATGGTTGCATAAAAAGTTGTTAAAATCTGTTCTAGGAGTACGAAATTTTGCACAGAGGTCTCTTATGTGGCGTAACTGGACACTAAAAAGCGATTTTCGGAAATTCAACCTTTAAGGGGATGAAACTACCGAAACTAGGGGTGGAAGTTTGTAGATTTTTTAAAATTTGTCGTAGGAGTAAAAAATTTTGCGCAGAGATTCTTAAGTGACGAAAGTGGATACTCGATTTTTGGAAATTTATCCTCTACGAGGGTAAAGTTAGGGGTGGAAGTTTGTACAAAAATTTGTTAAAATTACTTCTAAAAGTATGATATTTTGCACAGAGGTTTCGTGGGTGACAGAATTGAGCACTGAGGAACGATTTCTGGAAATTCACACATAAATAAGGGGGTGAAATTTTGTATATTATATTTTTTGAAAATTAGTCCTAGGGGTATGATATTTTGTATAGAGGTTTCTTAAGTGGCGAAAGTGAGTACTTAGAAGCGATTTTTTTGGAAACTCACCTCCTAAGAGGGTGAAATAAGGGGTGAAAGTTGTCTCACAAATATGTTAAAATGGGTTTTAGAAGTATGACATTTTGCGTAGAAGTTCCTTAGGTAACGTAAAATGAAAAACGTGGGTACTAAGAATCTATTTTTCAAAATATGTCCCTTAAGCAGGTGAAATTAGACAATTACAAAGGTTGACAGCAGTTGACAAAATTGACAGCAGTACCAAAATCAGGAAATAGTAATCAAAGTAACGAATATTTGAAATTATTATTTAGTAGTCCCGTAACGATTAGTAACGAGTAATCAAAAGTAACGAAATCAGTTGTGTAAACAAAATAAATAAAAACCAATGGTCTGAAACTTTTTTGGTTTTAATACTCCATCATTATCTAGCACATTCAAAGTAACGATATTAAAGTTACAATACAATATTAACCATAAGCTAAACATTTCAAATCAGACAATGTACCAGAACATATAAAAAACTTTATTCATTCCAGCCCTTCGAGATACAACGTAATATATAAAGTATATAAGACTATCTGTAGTCAAGAGACAACCTCACCAAAAACCTAAATCCTACGATGATGGCGTGACCAGGTCAAAGGGATGCGTGGCTAAATAGAAGACTAGCCTCAACTGGTTAATTAAGCGAATGTCATATAGGAGAAATTTAGTAATGATTAAGAGTATGGAGTTCTGGACGATGCGACAGTCAGAAATGAAAAAAAATTGACGCAACTGAGATGTACTGTTGGCGACGAATGCTCAGAATTCCCTGTACTGGACTGGAATGAATCCATAATCCAAGAACTGAATATCACAGAACGCCTCTCAACTTTTATACGGTCACGTATACTTAAATATTTCGGTCACCTTATGAGGAGGGATACTGACTGTCAATGACTGTGTATGGAAAAATTCATTATATAGGGCAATGTTCCAAGAAGAAGACCAAGAGGCCGCTCGCCCTCCCGATGGATAGACCATCTATCAAAGATCACCCAAGCCACTGCACACGCTTGTGCATAAAGCAGGGAATTATGGAGACAAACCTCACACATCACCTGACCACTACATTCCTCTTATAGGAATAAAGACACAGAGAGAGAGAGAGAGAGAGAGAGAGAGAGAGAGAAGAGTATGGAGAGATGGTGCTATAGACATCTACTAATCATGCAAAGCCAATTCAGTTTATCCTAGTTTTATTAAAGTTGATATTCAGAAAAGTAACGTTAGTGATAAGGTAGAGAAAATTGCAAAACAAAAATGAACCTTGAAAAATGGCTTGATTTAGAAATCAAATTTCTGTATAGTAAACAAAGTATGCTTGAAATTGAAGCCTATGGACTTTACAAAAAACTTACTTATAAGCTAACTAATGTAGAGTATGAATGTTGGTGTCTCTTTCAGAGAAATATGTTTGTGGTTATCAATTCAAAATTTGTTAGGAAAATGTCCATTTTGAATAATAAGTTTAAAAAATTAAAAAACTCTAAAAACAAACATGTTTTCCAAAGAGACATAAACATAGTAGAAAATCTTTCTTCGCAGACTTTTGATAAACAAGAGCTCAGTTTATTAAACAAAGGTTTAAAGTATGCATTGCCCAACTCTGGTAGCGCTTTGGAGGAAATTGTTGTTGGTGTTGAAACTGCTATTCAGCACTTGCCAGAGGCTTCTAAGGTATTTACAAGAGAGGCTTGTAGAAATCAGTTATCAAAAAATATCGTTTCAAGTAATTCATTAAAATCTAACAAAGAGCACAATATTGTCAAGAGTTTGCGTAACAAAGATTGTTTCTATCTAAAAGCTGATAAGGGAAATGTGTGAGGTTCAAGTTAACGTCTCCTTTCTGCTGCAATGGTTAAACTGGACGGGACCTACTTGTTTACGCGGAATCCGAACCGCGGTCCTCGGCCATATCATGGTCAATGGCCTATCGACTTAGGAAGTGTCTAAATTAACTCTTACTCACGAGATATCCGATCTCATCCTGCCTTGAACCGGCGTGAATGAGCAGTGTGTATCAATAGATTTTACACTTTTCCCTTTTTGGACAACAGCACGATGCAAAGTTTCGAACCGGTCACCCGTCCATCCACTAGCATCGCCTTACGTCGCTTAACTTCGGTGTTCTAATGGGAACCGGTGTTTCGACGTAGCTGGGCCGTTGCCCGATAAGGGAAATAAGGTTGTTATATTAGATAAAAAAGACTATTACTATAAGGTTAACAACTTAATCGATAATGGCCCCTACATAAATTTGAAAAAGAATCCTTTGTCTAAGATTAAAAGTTAAAAAAAACTCTAAAAGAATGTAACACCCTTATTGATCTATCTTTAAAGGGGAAATTGCAAGTATCCAATCCCTCATTACCAAAATTGTATGCTTTGCCAAAAATTCATAAACCGGACAAGTCTATGCGCCCAATTGTTTCGGCTGTAGGTTCTCCGACTTATAATTTGGCAAAATGGTGATCAAGGGAGTTCGAAAATTTACCAGATCATAAACCTTCTTTCTCAGTTAAAAATAATATTGAATTCATTAACAAAATTAAAGATATAACATTGCATGAAGGTGAAATTTTGGTCTCCTTTGATGTATCTTCGTTGTTCCCAAGTGTTCCAATTCCACATACTTTAGGCTACTTAAAGGAATTACTGAACGCAAATGGTCTCGACAACAAAACTGTGAGTGAATATATTGAGCTTACATCGTTATGTATGAAACAAAATTGTTTTCAATTTAATAACAACTTTTTTGAACAGCGGGAAGGTACAGAAATGGGTAATCCATTGTCTCCATTTTTGGCTAATTTATTCATGAGCAGGTTTGAAGTGGAGGCTAAGAATCAGTTTGGGTATTTTCCAAGAGTATGGTTTAGGTATGTGGATGATATTTTTGCTGTTTTTGACACACATTCAGACACTATAGATAATTTTATTTCTAAGTTAAATAATCGTTTTCCTTCCATTAAATTTACGCATGAAATTGAGAACAACGACAGATTACCATTTCTAGATGTATTAGTTATTAGAAATACTAATAATTGCCTGGCATTTGATATCTATAGGAAAAATACGACCACACGCAGATATATTCCTAATGAATCACATCATAGTGTTGAACATAAAATGGCTAGTTTAAATTTCTTAGTTCATAGGTTACTTAGTTTCCCACTTTCCAACGAAAGATATGAAATAGAAAGAGATTACATTAGGAATGTAGCTGAGTGTAATGGATATTCTCCTTTACTAGTTGATAAATTAATTAGAAAACGTAGGTATAGGTTAATGATTTCTGAAAATTCGACTTTTCAAGTGGAGAAAGATACGTCTAAATATTTTTCGATACCGTTTGATAGAGAGTTATCCCGTGGTCTAAAAGGAATTTTTAAGAATGTCAATTTAAACTTGTGTATAGTGCTAATAATAAATTACAACAATTATTAGGTAATCCAAAAGATAAAACACCTCCACTGGAAAGGTCGGGTATTTATGAAATTTCTTGTAAAGATTGTAATCAGAAATATGTTGGGCAAACTAGAAGATCAATATTAACTAGATTTAGAGAACATTTAGCTCAGATAAGATATGGTAGACCGGATAAATCTTGCGTTGCCGAACATATTGTTGATAAAGAACATTGTATAGATCTTAATAATTTAAAATTAATTAAACAATTGGCAAAAATTCATCTGTCAGAAATTTTATCTGTCAAATTCATCTGTCAAAAATTTCTGCCAATAGAATTACTGGAAATCGATTCAAGGTCGTTACGCCGTTACGCCGATACGCCGTTTTCAGGATAGTGTGGATGCACCCTCAGTGTCCCATCTCAAAACGTTTATTTTGGGGAGATCTACCAACCTTTAGATTTTGGTACAATAGTTTCGGAACACTCTGTATTTTTCAATCTACGAAAACTTAGGGATATTTTAAATTAATTTAAGATATAAGAAGAAAACCTAAAGAAAACTTTAAAATTGCCTAAAGTAACAGACTTTTTTAGTATTTGCAAACCCCTTCAACGTCAAATTCTGAGTTGAATAAACACCAAGATCATGAACTGCCTTCCTGTTCAACTTCAAGCAATATTAGTTTAAGTGAAAATAACAGCAATGAGGAAAAATAATCCGACCTGGGGGTCCCCAAGGGTAGCCCCTAGCCCCGGACCCCCTAGGACCTTAATCCGGCACTGTGAGAGATGGTATGTCGAAAGTTTACGAACAGTTAAGAAATAACTTCTGAGGGTATATAAGCAGCAGTGAAGTCGGGAACAGTTAGTTTTGAGTTATTAATAACTGGTAAAGGGCGAAATAATCTAAATCTAGTTTTGTGATACAATTATGTAGTGTATTATAGTTTCAGTCGTGTATTAAATAAGTTAAGTGTTTTTATTGTGTGTTTAAATTAAGGATCCAAGGAATTCCCAACAATATATACTCAGCGTCAATGTTATCTAAAAAAATTCCACTTCTTCACTTATATTATAATCGTTGCCACATCTTCTTTATTATAATTGTTTGTAAAAAGCTGCTCTAGTGAACAATTCAAATGAGTAATTGTTCAAATGTTTCCCACGAAAGTACTTTTATTGATATAAAAATAACGATAACATTGAAGAATTTGCGTGAACAAATAATAAAAACTTCACAGTTTATTAAATAAGCGTAAATAGATTACCCTTTACAATTGTAAATGAATGGGATTTTAATGATTGTTACTATATCCGTCTTGCCGAGTGTTCTCGAAATAGTTAGTTAGAAGTAGTTTTTTTTCTCAGTTATAGAGTTTTATTTTCAAATATTTTTTTCAATACGCTGATGACTGCGCTCTAGTTGCAAACACGTTACAACAATTACAAGAAATGTTGAACACATATACCTGGGCATACGAGGCTTTGGGCCTTAAGCTAAACATCGACAACACTCCCCCGGAAGATCACAACAATGCTATAAAAATCGGAGAAGAACTATTGGAATATGTTGCGGAATTCAATTACCTCGGCAGTTTGATTTCGGAAAAGGCCAATATTGACTCTGAAATTCAGCACAGGATTAGCAGCGCATCAAGAGCATTCTGGAAATTAAAAGACAGGGTTTTCTACAATCATGACTTGAGTACAAAAACGAAACTTGCGTGTACCGAGCAATTATAATCCCCACCATGTTATATGGGAGCGAAACCTGGGTGCCGTGTAAACAAGTGGCAACAGAGACACCTTAGACAACTCTTAAGAATCCGGTGGTTCCATCATGTCTCAAACGTATCGGTCCTTGAAAAACTGCGAGAGTATTGGAGTCATGGACGAAATCTCGCTTAAGATGGGCTGGTCACGTATGCAGAATGCAAGAAAACCGCTCCAAATCTCTGCTTTACGGTGAGCTTGTAGACGGTAAGAGGAGGCCGGGTAGACAACTGAAAAGGTACAAGGACATTTTCCATGAAAACTTAAAGGGGATTAACATGCAGAATGAGTGGGAAGAAGCAACTCGAATTGTAAACTCAGTTAATAGCGACAACCAAAAAGGAAAGAGGTAACAAAGCAATGAGATTTTTAAATGTCCGGAATGCGGTAGGCAGATAAAATCACGTATCGGGCTTTTCAGTCACAGAAAAGCTCATGAAAGAAAACGCCTTGCGTGACCATCTTCTGGTGTGTGTCGAATACTCGTCAGCGAGTAATGGCAGTATGTATGTATTTTCAAATGAATTTTGGTTTTAAATAAAATAATTTTTAGCTTTTGCTTCATAACTTAATGCTTTAAGATTTTTTTATCAAACTAGAAAAGTTTGGTTTTGGTGTATCATTACGAGAATTTTATTAGCAAGAAAGTACTGGGATATCAGCAAAATTGTTGCAAATATGGTTGTTTTCTAACTAATTATGTCCATGGTTCATGGCCTACTGTTAATTATGACACGAGTAGGATTTCCAAAGCACTGGGATCACTGTGTATGTTTTTGTTTATCCTCGAAATCCCGATATTGAATCTTGGGAACCCGAAAATCTCGAAAAATTTAAATGCCCAATATAAAATGATTCGACTTTATACACTTTAGTCTTTCAAGGATCATATTTTGTTTAAAGTAAGCAGAACGTCAATATCTGAAAGTTATATTTCTGTTATTATTTGCCATATTTTATTTTTTTTTTGCAACAATAATTATATTTTTTTTACTAACTAAATATGAATGTTACTTTGTTTTGTCTATTAATAAAGCTCTTTTCTCATTTTATTTTTGATATATGCAACTGCGGTTTTATTAAGTATTTCTTTAGATTAAATTTCTCATTCTGATAGCCAATTTACGGGATTCCGGGATGACAGGTTCTGATCCAGGGATTTCAAAACGGGATCCCGATCCCGAAAATTGGAAACCCTAGTCACGCGTAGCCTTTGGCCTTCTTTAGGCGGCCTGATATTCCAGATTATTTTTTAATGCAGATATAATTATTTAATTCATCAAATTAATCACAAATTATTCACTAATGCTTTACATTTATATTTTTTAGATGAATACCATCCTGTTCCACTGCGACATTTTCAGATTTGTTGTGGTCATTTCAGTCTACTTAATTAAAATGTATATTGAAGTAGTATGTTAAAAATAACTTCCTTATTCTAATAGATAATACGTTTTGTATCGAAATCAATTAATTAAAAAACGATTGAAGACTAAATTCACTCGTTTGAAATTAATTTTACTTAATTTAAATAGTATTTTTTTTCGTTATATTTCAGAAACTAAAAATATGGATTTAGTAATTTAAAAATATACAATATGTTAAAAATTATTTTACACCCATTTAACTCAAAATATTTTCAGTGTTGGTAGATCTCGATGAAGGAAACATATTTTCTCTTTACCGATTTTCAAATAAGTATAAAATAATCCAGTTACTTTACTTTGAAAATATTAACAAAAAATTAATTGCTTAAATTTTGAAAACTGCTGGTTCGTTTCTGGGTTTTCTTTCTTGAAAATTTAATCTGCCACCTAATGTTGCCAATATTATGTTAAAATTAAAAAAAAAACATCGAAATGTTTTTCAAACATTCCAAATTTTTTTTTGGCGAAACGTACTATAGTAGAGACGTACTTCTGGAGCGAAATATAATATCCCTAAAGATATTTGCGCTTATTTAAGACTCACCCTGTATAAGCTATTACATCAAAAGTCACGAGAAAGAAACAAGTTGATATTTAACTTTTACATACCTAAACGAAAATATAAGTTAAATGCGGCGAATAATTCACAACACTAATTATCTAAATAAATGTAGACACTATTATGTTTATTCCAGCTCGACAATCAGTCTTATCTCTCTCGAGAATGCTTATCAAATACTATTGTATGTATTTGATAATATGTTAAGTATTTTATTTCAAATCAATAGTAATAATTAAAAAAAAAATTAACTGTATACGATTGCGCCTACTTTGGCAACAGAATTTTCGCTGTCATTCCTATTATTCTATTGTGATAGTACATGTGTTTTGAGTTAATTTATTTATAATAATTACGATTAATATTATGCAAATTATTAGATCGTACACTGAAATTTCAAATTAACAATAAAAAAAGTTAAAAATAATTTTTTTAAAATGCTGACTTGGATATTATTTATTTGAATCTTTCAATTCGCTCGATTTTCCTTATTCAATGTTAATTAGCGCTGATCAATATTGTTCCAATGAATATAATCAGATTAAATAATTTAAAAAGCCAGGGTCTGCAAATATCAGGTCTTGCAGACGATCAGATCGTGATTGCACAGGACTACGATCTAGAATTCATGACTAAGAGGCTTTATCAAGGATGCAACAAATGGGGACTTCAGGTTAGTCTAAAAAAGACGGAATACTTAGCTGTCAATTCCAAAGTTTGCTTTGAAATCTTCATTAATTATAACGTCCGGATTCAACAAGTAGACAAATTTAAATACTTGGGTGCTACTATCAACAACTAGGGTTTGGGCAAAGAAGAAATACAAACTCGAATTCAGAAGAGCAAACAAGTTATTGGATGTCTAAATAGTCTTTGGTGGGACCGAAGCTTGTCTGCAACGACTAAAAAGAGACTTGGACGAACATTGGTGGACTCAGTTCTTTGTTATGGTTCAGAGCTATGGACTCTGAGTGCAGACGCGAAGCGTAAAATCCAAGTTGTTGAAATGGACTACCTTAGAAGGAGCGCAGGTATATCTAGGGATTTTAATGATTGTTACTATATCCGTCTTGCCGAGTGTTCTCGAAATAGTTAGTTAGAAGTAGTTTTTTTTCTCAGTTATAGAGTTTTATTTTCAAATGTTTTTTTCAATACGCTGATGACTGCGCTCTAGTTGCAAACACGTTACAACAATAACAAGAAATGTTGAACACATATACCTGGGCATACGAGGCTTTGGGCCTTAAGCTAAACATCAATAACACTCACCCGGAAGATCACAACAATGCTATAAAAATCGGAGAAGAACTATTAGAATATGTTGCGGAATTCAATTACCTCGGCAGTTTGATTTCGGAAAAGGCCAACATTGACTCTGAAATTCAGCACAGGATTAGCAGCGCATCAAGGGCATTCTGGAAATTAAAAGACAGGGTTTTCTACAATCATGACTTGAGTACAAAAACGAAACTTGCGTGTACCGAGCAATTATAATCCCCACCATGTTATATGGGAGCGAAACCTGGGTGCCGTACCGCCGACACATGAACGCATTAAACAAGTGGCAACAGAGACACCTTAGACAACTCTTAAGAATGCGGTGGTTCCATCATGTCTCAAACGTATCGGTCCTTGAAAAACTGCGAGAGTATTGGAGTCATGGACAAAATCTCGCTTAAGATGGGCTGGTCACGTATGCAGAATGCAAGAAAACCGCTCCAAATCTCTGCTTTACGGTGAGCTTGTAGACGGTAAGAGGAGGCCGGGTAGACAACTGAAAAGGTACAAGGACATTTTCCATGAAAACTTAAAGGGGATTAACATGCAGAATGAGTGGGAAGAAGCAACTCGAATTGTAAACTCAGTTAATAGCGACAACCAAAAAGGAAAGAGGCAACAAAGCAATGAAATTTTTAAATGTCCGGAATGCGGTAGGCAGATAACATCACGTATCGGGCTTTTCAGTCACAGAAATGCTCATGAAAGAAAACGCCTTGCGTGACCATCTTCTGGTGTGTGTCGAAGACTCGTCAGCGAGTAATGGCAGTATGTATGTATTTTCAAATGAATTTTGGTTTTAAATAAAATAATTTTTAGCTTTTGCTTCATAACTTAACGCTTTAAGATTTTTTTATCAAACTCAGAAAAGTTTGGTTTTGGTGTATTATTACGAGAATTTTATTAGCAAGAAAGTACTGGGATATCAGCAAAATTGTTGCAAATATGGTTGTTTTCTAACTAATTATGTCCATGGTTCATGGCCTACTGTTAATTATGACACGAGTAGGATTTCCAAAGCACTGGGATCACTGTGTACGTTTTTGTTTATCCTCGAAATCCCGATATTGAATCTTGGGAACCCGAAAATCTCGAAAAATTTAAATGCCCAATATAAAATGATTCGACTTTATACACTTTAGTCTTTCAAGGATCATATTTTGTTTAAACTAAGCAGAACGTCAATATCTGAAAGTTATATTTCTGTTATTATTTGCTATATTTTATTTTTTTTTGCAACAATAATTATATTTTTTTTACTAACTAAATATGAATGTTACTTTGTTTTGTCTATTAATAAAGCTCCTTTCTCATTTTATTTTTGATATATGTAACTGCAGTTTTATTACGTATTTCTTTAGATTAAATTTCTCATTCTCATAGTCAATTTACGGGATTCCGGGATGAGAGGTTCTGATCCAGGGATTTCAAAACGGGATCACGATCCCGAAAATTGGAAACCCTAGTCACGCGTAGCCTTTGGCCTTCTTTAGGCGGCCTGATATTCGAGATTATTTTTTAATGCAGATATAATTATTTAATTCATCAAATTAATAACAAATTATTCCCTAATGCTTTACATTATTTATATTTTTTAGATGAATACCATCCTGTTCCACTGCGACATTTTCAGATTTGTTGTGGTCATTTCAGTCTACTTAATTAAAATGTATATTGAAGTAGTATGTTAAAAATAACTTCCTTATTCTAATAGATAATACGTTTTGTATCGAAATCAATAAATTAAAAAACGATTGAAGACTAAATTCACTCGTTTGAAATTAATTTTACTTAATTTAAATAGTATTTTTTTTCGTTATATTTCAGAAACTAAAAATATGGATTTAGTAATTTAAAAATATACAATATGTTAAAAATTATTTTACACCCATTTAACTCAAAATATTTTCAGTGTTGGTAGATCTCGATGAAGAAAACATATTTTCTCTTTACCGATTTTCAAATAAGTATAAAATAATCCAGTTACTTTACTTTGAAAATATTAACAAAAAATTAATTGCTTAAATTTTGAAAACTGCTGGTTCGTTTCTGGATTTTCTTTCTTGAAAATTTCTTCAAAAAAGAAAATTAAATCGTTAAATCTGCCACCTAATGTTGCCAATATTATGTTAAAATTAAAAAAAAAACATAGAAATGTTTTTCAAAAATTCCAAAATTTTTTTTGGCGAAACGTACGTCTGGAGCGAAATATAATATCTCTAAAGATATTTGCGCTTATTTAAGACTCACCCTGTATAAACTATTACATCAAAAGTCACGAGAAAGAAACAGGTTGATATTTAACTTTTACCCTTGTTTATATATTCTTAAAGTTGTTCAACCGACTAGACGAAATGTGCTGCCAACTGGAGGACAAATCGTGAACCTTTCGGGGCGGAGTCAAAAATATCGATTATTTTCGTTATTTTCCTCAGAGTAATGTAATAATATAGCCCCGGGTTTCTGCGAACTTTAATAATGATCAGCTGATTAAGAAATTTAAACGAAACTTTTATTTTATTGTAAATTGTGTATTATTTTTGCCTGTTATTTTAAGAATTCTAAACCGTATTAACAAAGAAATTATTATTTCGATATGTTGGTACATTATTTATAATTTATGATAATGCTAATTGCTGCTAATTAATATTAAAAAAAAAAGTTACATACCTATTTTAATTTGATTTAATGCAGGTTTATAAAAGAATCATTTCATTCTTAGATTATTTTATTCTAAATTGAGTGCTTTACGAATTTTACGATATATTTTTTTTTGAAAACATAAAACTTTTTACATTTTTGATGCCAACTAATTGGTATGGTATTATTGGTATGGGAATTAGTCAAGAAAGTAAAGTATTGGCTATAACTTGTAATTTTTCAAAAAAAAACATATTATACCTATATCGCTGAAAAGCTTAAAGAATGTCGCTTTTTATGAAGTCATGGTCAACTAGGATTTCCATTTAAAAAAAAACATAATGTTTGTGTCATATGTCAAAAATGACAGGCTTTAGAAAAAAAAACAGAAAACACAAACTCATTAGGTATGTGATTATCTACAACTTTTATCTGAAAACTTTTTGTCTAAAATACCATATGATCGAATAAAAACGGCGTCAGCGATGGCTATGAAATGACGATCGATGATATTTCCCATATAATTTTACATATAAAATGACAACGATCTTCATTTCATAGCCATCGTTGACGCCGTTTTTATTCGATCATACGGTAGATTATAATGGAATTAGAGACAAGTTTTAAAATAGCCAAAATTTGTGTTTTTTGAAATATCTAGTAAGCCTTGAACTTCTCCGAAAAATCCGAAAGGCGCGTGACCCCACAAAAAAATCCGAATAACCCCACAAAACTGCAATTCTTTCCCCATTTAACCGACTCTCTATCTCCAGTAGTTTCCGAGATACCCATAGAGAACATCGTAGGAAACTCATCCTGTATAGTATTTAGAAACTAACTATTATTTTTATTTGACTAGATTAATTTGATTAATAAGATTCGATTAATTTAATTTAAAATAAATTTGATCAGATTTTTTGTTTTTATATTCTACTACCAGAAAACCAAAATTATATGATAACGCACTTTTCAACGAAGTTGAAGGAATATATAGAGTATCTATCACAATACTTGAATTACTACAATTAGAAGAAAAACAAAAAGAAAAAATACCCAAATACCTTCACCTACTATTCATCTACAAAATAAACGAATATAATCTCTTATAAAAACACTACACAACTACTTCTTGTATTTTACACTGAAAAAATTATAAACTTACTAATTAATCAAACAAAAAGAAAAAATAACCAAATTATCCCTTCACCTAC